TTCAGAAGTTTTTCTATGTCAGATATGCTTCAGTGGAAGTATGTGTCCTACTCTTCCCCCCAGCTGTTCATGATTGTTTTTTGGCCTTTTGGTATTTTCAATGTATTTGCAGATTTTAGATTTAGAATCCCAACCTAGGGGTTCTTCTCAGCAGTCCCTTCTAAATTCATGAACCAAGGGTCTCTCTCACTTCGATAGTCTTAGAAACAGTTCAATGAAGTGTAAATCCCCTTGACTCTAAGAAGTAACAGGGGAGCTACTGTATGTTTCATTAGACACACAAGCACTGGTACAAGGGAAACTTGTTTTCAAGATGAAAGAAGCAGATCCAGGACATTACTTCCGAGACTCTAAATGTTAATCTCCCCAGTTCTCTCTGCCCCATAGCTGGCACCCTGTTGCATAGCCAGGGCCTGTGTGAATCCCCACCTCTGTTTTGTGCTCTCCTTGTTGCATTTTGCACTGGCCAAGATGGAAGCTGAGCAGAGACTGGTTCTAATGCTTAGGGATGGAATAAAATGCAAGTTAGTTCCACTCAGTGATCCTGAACTGCTGGCAGGAGCGGGAGACACAGGCATTTTCTATTTAAAGCACAGCACAGAGGGCAGGTTATAAAAAGGAAATCTGCTCTGTGGACAGCAGTAAATGGAGAGGGAAGCAAGCTTCAGGATGGGGTGGGTGGGGGAATTTTGCTGCTGTTTGGGCCTCCCCTCCCCCATTGTTTTCTCTGTTGGTGGCAGGGCAGAGAAAAAAAAAGCCTCCTGGAACATTTTGGCTTCCCACCCGTAGCCCAGTATCAGCAGCTCCTCTGTGGTTTGAGAGCTTCCTAATCTGAACAGGAATTAACAGTGTGATGCTCTTCAGAAGGAGGAAGCAGCCATTCCAAGAGGGGATTAGCAGAAGCAGTGTATAATAAAGACAGGGCAATCATTTCTGTTCGCACAGCATAATATGGTTTCTTGTTTGCTTCGAGTTCTGGGCTGCAGCTGCAGAAAGGAAAAGGGCTTGCCATATGTCAAAACAAGCTGGACAACAGGCCTCTTAAAAGAGTGTTGTGGGGGCATCGCTAGCCATTGTCCCAGCTTCCCGTCCTGCCTTTTTAAAGCAAAGGAAAGTAGCCAGGATATCCCTTCTGATGGGAGTTAAAGTCATCCCAAGTACCCTTCCGAGACTACCTCTTTCCAGCTGTGCAAGAGCAGGAGCATGTCCTTGGCCCTTGTGACTTCCATGGAGGACCGAACACATTGCACCTCTGAAATAAAGCCTGGGAGTACGAACGCCGAAGGAAATAGTTGGTGCTCCCTCAAGTTCCCTCCCAGATTTATGGCTCCGTGAGAGACTCTGAACACAGCCCGATAATGCCTTTCAAATGGATGTGGTTATTTTCACATTGCTGTGACATGAGAAGGCCGTGTGTCAGGGATGTTCCCAGAACTCTGATCACTTCTGTCGTTTGTTAGCTCCTTTCAGCATTAATTAATTCTGGGTTTCACATGCTCCATAGGAAAGGAAAGGAGGCAAGCTGTGCTGGGCAGGGGGAGGGTCTCTCCCTGCTTTAGCCAATTTCTTCCTCCTGTGGGCATATGAACTCACAAGCAGGGAAAAATTCCTATTTCTATGGGGTTAGGTATCTTGAGGGGGAACTGTAAGCCAGAGTTCAGAAAATTATTTGTCAAGATGACAACACCCAGAATCTCTAAGCCACCATAGCAAATGCTGATTCACAGAGTAGAAGCCCTGTTCTAAAATATGGGATATGTTGGTTCTTGCCTCACATGTATTAAACTTGTTTGGTTGTATGCAAGTACTTGGGGTGAGTAAGATGCTAATGTGAGAGCCAGTGTGGTGTATTGGATAGAATGGCAGACTAGAATTTGGGAGACCTGGGTTCAAATCCTTGCACAGCCATAGAAATTCATTGAGGAGTTGTTCTATTAAATATTGCACATACCTTGAAAACCTTGTTAGGGTTGACATAAGTCAGGTGTGGGTTGATGGCACATAATAGCAATAAGGAGGTTGTAGTAATGACTCTTCCAGAACTAGTAGTTAGTGAACTGCCTGGAATCCTGATGGCTCAGCTATGGCCTTTTATCGCTAAGCTCTTTGGGGCCTTGGGATGGGGGAATGAGCCTTTAATGTTTAAAAATTGCTGGTGCTGGTCCTTAGGCTTCACAAGGTCAAAAGGGATCTCTTGTGAGCCTTAGAACCTAAGGGTGGAGTAGTAGGAAACTTTTAATTAAAGGTAAAAGGTCAATGGCTGACAACATCATCAGGCTTATGCACACAGAACTAGGCCAACAGGATTCTGTCCAATATCACTTCTCTAAAACTAGTCTAGACATATGGCCAAACACAAGGACCTTGGGAGCATTCCCAGCAGAAAACTCTGCAATAAAATCCACTGAAGCTCTCCGTGCAAATACACTGTTCAAGTTACTGTTGAGAGAGGCATGTGAGGATTTGTAAACACTGTTCTTGTTCCCACTGCCTTATTTAGTGTGCCTGCCCAGGTTGGTGGATTCAATGGAACAAAACCTTCTCTGCTTTATATAACAAATGGAAGACAAACTCTGCTCATGCTCTTCTAGAGAGATCTTCCCGCTTCTGTGGTTGGAAAACACTAAGTTCCAATCTCATTCCTTTGCTCTATTAATTGGGAGCTTAGACAGGGATTCTGTGGTTGGAAACTATTATTTCTCTGTCAAAAGGGAGAAAGCAAGAGACTTGTTTAGCTTTTCTAGCATAAATGTGGAAGACCAGCCTTTTGCTTCCTTGCTTGTTTTCTGCTTACCCCTTTGCACTGCTGAGGCATCTCTGTCTCTCTAAGCTGCTTGTGTTCATTGCCTCCACTGAGAACATCACAACACCCTTCTTTTGACCTCTGGCCTGGTAGAGGATGGAGTTCGGAACTGGTGGGCTCCTTTGTTAGTCAGTAGTATCATGCCAAGACCAGGATTCTGTTATCTCATGAAAGACTTGTCTTTGAGGTTTGGATATTATTAATACAAGAGAAAGGCTGCTTATGTTGTCTATTGTAGTTGGGTTGGCCAAGGCCTTGCTGTCTGAACGTCCCATTTTTCTGCAGGAGAGCCCTAGTGTGGGTCTTTGCAAATAGGACACCTTTCTCTACTCTGCAGTCACCATGTCTCTTAAAAGAAAATGTGTGTTTGTGAGTCATGTACTGTTTATTAGGCATGGAACTGAATTAGTTTTGTGAACGGATATGGAAACAGTTGGTTTCTGCTAAGTAATTTTGTGTGTGTGTGTGTGTGTGTGTGTGTGTGTGTTTGTGTGTGTGCATGTGTGTGTGTTCACACGTTGTGTGTGTGTGTGTGTGTGTGCATGTTTGTGTGTGTGTGTGTGTGTGTGTGTGTGAGAGAGAGAGAGAGAGAGAGAGAGAGAAGTTGCCCAATTGCAGTACAGATGTTAGCAAGACAAGTCTGATGTTCCCTATTTCTTCTTGAATAAATTTCTTGCTCATAGGATTGCAGCATTAAACTTGGAAAATGTGATTTACCAGATCAATTTCTCCTAAATGCATAGCAATGTAAAGTTTATACACCAGATAGTAAAAAATATATTCAGTGAGTTTAGCCTTCTGCTCCTCCTTTTTCTATAGCAGTACTTTAGGTATCAGTCTACAGGTTTTTTTTTTTTCATGAGAAATAAAATTGACAAGAAAAGTAAGGGTGCTGGTTTCAGTCACAGCATTTTTTTTGTTGAGCTGCAGTCTGACCTCTTACTAGACTTAATGAATTAAACATTTGTGTCTTCACTAGTTCCAGAGCACCTTTCAGCAAGATAAACAGTACCACAGTTGACATTGCCTGTCTCAAATATATTTTGATATATTTATTTATTAGGGATGGAATAAAATGCCTTTCCATTACAAAAATAGCACTGAAGGCAGGTCTGGTAATTTGTGTAGGTAGCAGTAAGTCTTTAAGATGCCACATTTTTGTCTCCTTTATTTTATTTTGTTTTGTTTTTTCCTTCTATGCTAGCACAGACTAACACTGCTACCTCTTCTAAAACTACAACTACGGGAGTGTACAAATTAGCAGCCTAGCTGCTGCATGTTGTACCGACTGAAGATCCCAGCCCTTCTTCAAGGGTCCCCTAAGCAGAGCATGTAATGAAGGCATGGATGATTGTAGCTAAGACAAGATGACTTAGGAAAGGTCATAGCTGGCATGCTAGGTGGAATTGTGCAAAGGCCCACTTCATCACCACTGCCACCTGGGAATCTGGCAACAGTGCAAAGTCAGAGAGCACTCCCAGACAACAAATCTGAAATGTTAGGGGGAGTGAAACTCCTTCTAGAACAAGTTGGATTTTAATTCCTGAACCTGACTTTGTACTGACCAGCACCTCTGTCTTGTCAGGATCTAGTTTCAGCTTGTTTACCATCATCAATCCCATCATCAAGCTCAGGCAACGTTCAGGAGTCCTGACTGCTTTCTCAGTGTTGGAGGACAAGGAGCATTAAGAGCTGGGTGTCATTAGCTTATTGGTGGCACCTCATTGCAAAGCTGTGAATAATCTGTCCCACATAAGCATTCCAGAACTTGGCATCTTGATTTCACTTCACTGGAATAGAAAGTTGCATGCAGTACATAAATGTAGCCCCCAAACAAAAGTCAGGATTTGCCTTCAGATTTTCAGTTGAGGATATCTTATCAGAAGTCATGAAAGATCAACCCCTGCAAAAGGCAACAGAAAGATGGGATCTGTTTAACAAGTGGACTGAATCAACAGGCAGCAGCTGAATAACATATATTGAAATGAGAACTTTATCTACAAGGCAGAAAAGAGTAAATAGAATAACTTAAAATCTTGATATGGCAATAGGTATAGATTGGATATCAGTATGTTATTGTCTCCCCTCTTCCTCATCAATTCCAATTCCCTTTTCCCTTTTGTCACCACCTATGTTAAAAAATAATTTTTTGGGGGGAAAAAAAAGATTTTCAGTTGTTATCCTTTCTCTTTTCCAGACCATTTGCAGCACTTCTACTGGGAACATCATGGCCATAGTGCAGACCCTACCAGTTTCCATTGAGTCTGCCTCGGAAGGAGCTGCTCAGCTTCACAACAGTGCCTGCTCCTCCCCTGCAGCCATGGGCAGTGTCAGCAGCCTCATTTCAGGCCGGCCTTGCCACAAGGCCACAACTGAGTTCGGCCCTTTCCGTCTGCCGGGCGGGGCAGGTTCCCAAGAGCCCCTGTGCCACGGACTTCCCACCAAGAAGAATAGCTACGCTTATGCTAGAGAAGAAGACTGGGCTGAAGCTGTATCTCCCATCAGCCCCTGCAGTGATACAGAGGAGCTGCAAGATGACAAGCCCCGTGTTGGCACTATCCGTGGGCCACCCCCCAAGTTGGTTCCTGTCTCGGGAAAACTTGAGAAGGTAAGAAGAGGTGGTACCTGTACAGAATGACTTGCACATACAGTGGTGCCTCACATAACGAGTGCACCATTTAACGACGAATCCGCATAGTGACGCATTTTTTGCAATCGCTAATGCGATCGCATTGCGATGTTTAGATAGGCTAAACATCGCATTGCGGTGATTGGTAAGCGTTTCACTTACCGATCTTCGCATTGCGATGTTTAGAAAACAGATGATCGCCGGTTCCAAAATGGCCGCCGGATCAGCAAAATGGCCGCCCACAGCGTTTTCGCCCCCTGCCCTCACCGGGCAGCGAAAATGGCAGACGGATGGGGGAATCTTCGCTTACCAGTGAGTTTTTCCCCCATAGGAACGCATTAAATGGAGTTTAATGCGTTCCTATGAGGTTTTCCCCCTCGCATAGCAACGAATCCGGATAGCAACGTTAATCCTGGAACGGATTAACGTCGCTGTGCGGGGCACCACTGTATATTCATCTATTTAGATGAGCCACTTATGACTTGCTGGATGTTGTTGGGTTACTACTCTTCTTATTATCTCAGTATTCACTGGACTTGCTAGGAACAAACTGAGTTACAAGTGATATAGACAAGGAATGCAAAGAACACTACTCCTTCCTTCACCAGTAACTTGGTTGCCCTGTTGTTCAGCTGTTTCCTGATTATACCTTAGATTGACTTTAGAGCTCAAATTCTTCATTCTGTCTGTAGAGAGAGATATATATAGGGGTTCTGCTTTAAGGAGGGCTCTTCCTAGGAGCAGATTAACACATACCAGTGGCATACTGTGCCTTGGAAGTGCAGAATCAGGACTGATAGGTATAAAGTGTAAGTCTGACAAACAGAGTCCTAGAGAGTCAGATAAACTGTATCCACCTCTGGGCATCACAGTCTAAGAAGGACGTTGAAAAGCTGGAACATGGACAGAGAAGAGTGACGAGAATGGTAAAAGATTTGGGAATCAAACTGCAAGGAACAGTTGAAGGCGTTGGGCATGTTTAGTCTGGAGAAGAGAAGACTAAGAGTCAATATGATAGCCAGCTTCAAATATTTGATTGTCTTCAATGTGGAAGATGGGATTAGCTTGTTTTCTGCAACTACAGAGGGTAGGATTTAAATTTATAGGAAAGTTGATTTGGACTCCGTGTTAGGAAAAAGTGTTCTAACGGTGAAAGCTGTTTGACGGTGGAATGGACTGACTATGAGGGTGGTGAATTCTTCAACACTAAGGATGTTTGAACTGTTGTTGGATAACCATCTGTCAGGGAAGCCTTATGTGAGGGTTTCCTGCTTTGGCAGGGGGCTGAACTCAGTGACCTCTCTAGTTCCTTCCAGCTGTACTCCTCTATGATTTCTTCGAGCTCAGCTGTAGGGTTTGGCCTACTGCTCTCACTGAGAAGAAGAGCTTTTTGACAGGAAGGCCACCAACTCCTGAGGAAGTCTCTTCTTCCGAGGCATCTTTTTCTGCAGTTGAATATTTCACATGAGGGATTTTAGCTGGGCTTGTGCCCTTACTTTGCAGCATTCTCATAGGCTGGGAGGGGCCCAGCCTCTTCCTTCATTGCAGACCCACCTTCATTCATCCAGGGATCCAGTCTCCAGGATTAGACACAGAAATGCAGTCATCTAGGGGTTCAGACTTCTGGATCCTTAAGCATCCAGGGTGGCAAGGCATGGCAGAATTTGTCCAGCGAGGGCCATGCCAAGTGCAGGTATTGCTAAATATTTCTTGATGGTAGGGTTGGGGGGAGAGGTAAAAGTCTCCAGCAGTTTGAGTAGGGATGAATCTCTCCTGAGAAATGTTATTTCACTTGATGTTGAATGATGCTGCCTTGCTAGTTTATGCTGGTAGATAAAGGAAGTAGTCAATTAAGAGAAAAGGACTGTAGAGAGTAGGGACCATGCCTGTTGCTTTCTTCAACAGTACTGAACAGTATTAAAATTGGATCCACGGTTGCTTATGAAATTCTGCACCCTGATCAGGGAGGGTGAGCTTGGGCGGGCTGTGTTCTGTAGGGAAGGTCAGAGATATTCAACAGTTCAAAGAGGGATTTAACACACACACCATTCATTCTGTTATTTTGAAATGTCAGTTCATTATGCCCTTCTCATCTACCTGTCAAACAAATACATTGCTTTTAACTTGTTAATTCCAAGTTCTGGGATGGAAACCCCCCAGTTCCTCATCTGTTGACCATAAAAAATGTGTTAGCTGGAATATAATCAAATGTGTATTAAAGGGGTTTCTGCTTCTCTTGATTTCTTTCTCTGCTGTTCAAACCTGCTCCTACAATCTAGTTCCTCTGTGTTGTTTTTTAGAACGTGGAGAAGACGTTAATCCGCCCCACAGCCTTCAAACCCGTCATGCCCAAGAATCGTAACCCTCCACTGCAGGGGCACTTGGCACTGCGTCCAGGTACCTCTGTGCTTTCTGAAAGCCAAGCTAGTCTTGCCCAGCTTTTTGGCGGCACTCCTGCAGGCAACCCAGAGAAGCACAATTCCATGAGCTGCCGTACCAGTTCTCACTCGGGAACAATGTCTGATTCGGGGCGCAACTCCCTTTCCAGTCTACCCACGTACAGTACAGGTTGCAGCCAGCAGATGGAGCCAGTCAGCATCTCCATGGGCCACATCAACCTTGACAGCCATGGCAGTAGCAGTTCCCGGGGCCTCACGGGCCCTTCCAACTCTGATAGCGGGCGCTCGTCATCGAGCAAGAGCACAGGCTCCCTGAGCGGCCGTGGGCACCATTCCTCTGACAGTGGCTCCTGCGGTGGGCACTCACCTGTCCATGGTGGCGGCGCTGAGGAAGCCTTGCTTGTTCACGAACTGGAGGAGAAGCTGCGGGAGCGAGAAGCTGAGCTGCAGCACCTGAGGGAGAGCTTGGATGAGAACGAGGTGGCCATTTGCCAGGTGAGAAGCATGGAGAGGCTTTTTGGGCTCTGAACGCAGGAGGGTTGAGCAGAGCATGGAAAACACTTGTGTTTCTGTCTCTTTTGTGGTGTTTCTGGTCTTTGTCACCACACTTTTGATGCTTAAGGCAGCAGTAGCTTTTTGTTCCACTCGCTAGCTAGTTTTTTCCATGGCAGGTGTTGTGGGACAGCATTTGGTAGATTGATGACTGATAACATACCACAACTGTGATCTCCTTTTAGGCCCAGGTAGGCTAAAGTTGGAAATTCTGAAAGTTGTAATCTGAAATAAAACTCTTCTATGTTCTAAAATAGTGGTTTCCAACCCAGGTGTTCTGGGACTGCAATTCACCGCCAGCTGCGTTGGCCAAGTTTTCTGGACGTTCCAGTCCAACACCACTACCTGTGTTACCCAAGGGTGGGAACCCTTGTTCTAAGACACATTGTCATTCTTCTCTGTGCCCCATCCCATCAGGGCAGAAAGGAGTGAACTGCTTATTCAAAGTATACTGTGGATGTTGATTAGGCTGATGACACTGCATGCTGAGAACCATAGTTCTTGTAAACATTAGCATCATTAACTTTGTACTTAGTTTTCATATTGGCTATTCTTCATATTGGCTATTCTGTTTTTGGCAGCATCCATGTTTTACTTGTTACTCATAAATCTCACAACTGCTTCATTCAACTTCCCTCTATTACCTGCCATCTTGTATAAAAAGGAATAATAATTAGAAATTACACAGAGCTAATAAAAGAGCATTGTTGCACATGTTGTCACCATAGCTATCATTACATGAATGTTTCCAGCCTGTTGCCTTGCTCTTCCCCCAGAATAGTGACGCACTCATGAAATCTCAGTGATGTAGCAACAGTTTGGATACTCAGAAATTACTATCATTAGAATTGTCCTTTTGAGGCTTGATATAGCAGCTTATGTCCCCAGCCACTCTGACTAATAAATCTGTTGCTGCTTAGAATACCCTGGGTGGATCCAGTCAAAAGTCTTTGTAATCTGGCATCCTGTTTCACACAATGGCCTAGTAAGATTCCTCGGAAAAAACCACAAGCAGGACATGTGTGCTATAGCTTTCTCCTAAAGACTAGGGCATGGTCTGGAGGTACTATATAATTTTCCATACTAGAAGTCTTTAGTAGTTTTCTCCTCTGTTAATTTGTCTTATCCTCATTTAAACTCATCTGAGTTGGTAGGCAGTAGAAGTCAGTTACGTAGGCTAAACTATGTGCTGCATAAAGAAACGTTTTCCTTCCACTCATTCCGAATCTCCTACCATTGTTTCATCAGATGGCCCCAGTTTCTGGTTTTCTCTATACATCTTTGTCATGTTACTCCTCTTTTATTTTTCTTCTAAACTGAAATAACCTAAAACGTGGTCTTCGTAGCACAGGTGTTCCTTCCTCCGACTCAGTATGGTTTTACCCCACTCTGCACCTTTTCCAGCTGCAGCTTGTGCCATTCAGCTTCTCCACATATGCCATCTGTCATCCCCGGGAAGTGTCGCACTTTCAGAAATGAGCTCTTTGCCTCCTGCTCCTGCTTTAGCTCCCCCATCCCCCCCAAGCCCACCCTCTAGCTTCTCTTCTGAGAGTTTTCTTGTGGCTCCTTATCTTTTCCAAGTGCCATGCTGTGGAAACCTAGGAGCAGAAACACCCTGGGTCACAGAAAGATGGGGTTGCCCTCCCATCTTAAGGCGGCTTCCTGAAATGAAGCATCCTGGAGGGAAGAAGGTTGACATCTTCCGTGCCTCTCCTCTGCAAGGCAGAAAGCACAGTTCTGGGTCAGAGCGCCCGTGTCGGGCTCAGACGGCTCACAGGGTCTCTGCAACCAGCTGTATAATGGTCACTAACGACCAGAGGTCTGGGGTGATGTTTCCCAACAGGTTGTTTTCTGCTCCCTTCAGGTGTATGAGGAGAAGCAGCGGCGCTGTGAGGAGGAGATGGAAGGGCTGCGGCAGGGCTATACGGCCAAGCTGCAGCAGTCAGCACAGAAGGCCCAGCGCAGCCAACAGGTGCTGCAACTCCAGATCTTCCAGCTGCAACAGGAGAAGAAGAAACTACAGGAGGATTTTGCACAGCTGCTGGCTGAGCGTGAGCTTCTGGAGAAGCGCTGTGCCTCCTTCGAGCGGGAGCACACGGAGTTGGGGCCCCGGCTGGAGGAGACCAAGTGGGAGGTGAGTCTGACCCAGGAATGCAGCAGCTTGTGGACTCGCCTCCTTCCTTCCCTCAGGTTTAAAAGTCAAATAGTTAGACTGGGGTGTTATCACTCGTCTTGTCTTTTCCCTTTTGCGTTTTTCCCCCTTTGAGTATTTAAAGTGTATCTTACACATGACCTTAATCTGTCTCTAGCACTTTGTCTGTCTCCATTATGATCTATCTGTTTTCTGGATATACCGGGCGGCAGTCTAAAATAGTCTTCTCTAACTTGCCCCTTCCCATGTTTTGGATGATGTCTCCCATCACTCCACCCATTGGGAATGATGCTTGAAGTTAGTGGAAGTTGTAGCCCAAAATGTAGTAGTGTGTGGGTGGGCTCAATCCCAGGGCAGGGAGAGGCTGGTTTAGTGGGTGGAACTGTATTTTTCCAGATCTCTGCCAGGCTGTTCTAAACTTACTGAAAATCTTTGAAATACATGCTTTTGTGTTAGAATGTTTTATGGGGGAATGATGGTAAGGCTAGAAGGGTATTGTGGTCTTTTTGAAAGAGGGGGCGATCTTTCTTTGGTGCCCTGTAAATCTGTGTAGTATACAGTGGGATCAGGACTCATCTCGCTGAGATTTTGGGACGTCTAAATGCCCATTTCAGACTTGTCCACCTTTACCTTGCGCTTGTCTGTTGTGATTTCTCTGGCTCCAGTCCTGCATCCCCCCTTTTCCCTGGGCTAGACAATAGTGAACAGCAATACCATGTGTCTTGTAAGATATCTGGGTCTTAGCATTGCCAGATTAGAAATGGACCTCCCTGGCACCTTCCCACTCAACTGATGCATGTGGTTTTTTTTTTCCTATCAGGTGTGCCAGAAGTCCGGTGAGATCTCGCTACTAAAACAGCAGCTGAAGGAGTCCCAGGCAGAGGTGGTTCAGCGGGGGAATGAGCTGGTGCTGTTGAGGGCCCAGTTGAGGGAAGCCCGGGCTGATCTGCAAGGTAGTGAAGAGCAGGCCCTGAGCTTGCAGGAAGTGGCTCGTACTAAGGCCTTGGAGCTAGAAGTGTGTGCCAATGAGTTGGCCAGACGCAAGAGTGAAGCAGAGCTGCTGCGTGAGAAGGTGGGGCGCTTGGAGCGTGAGTTAGAAGGACTGCGTAGCACAAGTGAGGATTTCTGCCCCCTCCTGGCTGAGTGCGATGAGGCAAAAGCCCAGCGCCAGGCGGCCGATACTCTGCAGGGCTTGCGGGCCCAGGCGGAAAGGCTGCGTGCGGAGCTTCTGTGTGAGCGGCGCCGTGGTGAAGAGCAGCGGGAGGCCTTCCATGCTGAACGTATCACCTGGCAGAGTGAGAAGGACAGAGTCATCCGTTACCAGAAGCAGCTGCAGCACAATTATATCCAAATGTACCGGCACAATCGTGACTTGGAGTGCCAGCTGCGCCACCTCAGCCTTGAACTCGAGGCCCGGGACATAGATGACTATGAGATGCATGGTGGGGAAGGCATCTGCTTTGAGGAGATAGCAGCCACTGAGATCTGAGCATGTCCAATGAATGGGCCACACTGCCACTTAAAAGATGCTGTGGGCACAGTGGCTGGTGCATGCGCACTCAGGACTCCCTCTGACTTCAAGGGATGCAAATGGAGTGAGCCCTGGACCGGTGATGAAGGGAGCCACCTACTGTAGAGCGCACTCATGAATCCCAGCGGGTAGCGCATGCATCTCCCATTAATATGGCTGGGGACCCGGGAGGGGGGAGGATTCCAGTGCCACCAGCTCAACAGATTTCACTGCCATTGAGATTAGATAAGGACCTGAAGTGGAGTTTGTTTCTTGGGGGGGTGTGTGTAAGAGCTACTGAGGATTTCCACCAATGCCTCCCAAACCTGCCTTAGAGGAAGGAGGAGCCAACCTCTCCTAAACCTTTATTTGGAAAGTCTGCAGCAGCAACTGCTGCTTTGTTCTGCCAGAGCTTGGAAAATTTCTTGTTTAGACTACAGCTTCCAGAGGTGCCCAGCCAGCCTAGCCAGTGGCTATATTGGCTGAGAGATTGTGGGAATTGTAGTCCCAAAATGGATTTTTTGTTTTCCTAAGCTCTGGCCTTTAGGAGAGCTTGTGTTAGTACTGTTTTCTGTCACTACCTTTGCAAAGTGACCTGATTGGCTCTCGGCCACTATTAGGTGGAAATTAGGTTGAGCTGGCTACATTTACAGCCAGTTAGCTGCTGATCCACTTAGACAGTGGGAGGGCATCAGCACCACCTGTTTATAGGCTGTCTGGAGAAGCTTTAAAAAAAGATTTGGGATGCTCTTCTCTGACCTTTATCAGAGTCCTGTGCCGTGTGTACTCTGCATTAAGTATATCTTTTTAAAATAACATATATCTAGTCTATGGTACCAAGAAAAACTAAATTGTGGAAAAAAAATAAATGGGCATATGTTTGCTTACTTTGAATAATATTACTGTTTCCCATAGTCAGGCGCTTCCCTGCACTATGCCTGACAGAAGAGATGTTTGACCTTTGGCATAGCCATTTATTTTTTGTGGCCAAGAAAGGGCAAGATATAATAATATATAGTAACAAGACCAAAATTAATTCTCAGGATACGGCTAGTCCCCAAATTCTGTGGTGTTTTTTCTTGTTGTTGTGCTTGTGTGGAATTACAGAGTATGTGCAGTCCTGGCTCAGTCTCACCTAAAATGTTGTGAGGGGATGGTATGCTAAACCCTCTAAAGCAACTTTTTCCAATCTAGTCTTACAGAAGTAAACCTGTCCAGGCATCTGTGTTGACTGTAGGATATCATTGTGAAGTATTCTTATTTTAAGGGCCCTACACATCCTGCTGAAGAGGTTGTGTCCAGTGGCAACTGTTCGATAGCATCTCTGCATACATGGGGTGCTTGGGATCTGGCCCCCCACTAATTTCCATGATACCTCAGTGGTCATTGTTATAGGGTCTTCCCACACATTCCCCTTATTTTCCTAGAGTCTGGAGAATCTTTGACCTTGGGAAACTGCCAGGACCTACCTATTCATTAAGGCAGGTGGTGGGAACCTTTGGCTCTCCAAATGTTTTGGATCACAAGGCCTGCAGTCCCTTACCATTGGCCAGGCTGGTGGGGCTCATAAGAGAGTTTATGCTGAAACATTCGGCAGTCCAAAGGTTACCCAATCCTTGCTATAGAGATTGCTGAATCAGTAGTAGGGGTCCGAGGGCCAGCCCCACCTCTGCCCCTACCCTGAGGATGCCCTATTACAAGAGGATCTGGGATGCACCTTCCTTACTTGCCTTGACCACTCCTGGTGGGGACCCTTCTGAATTGAGAGTGCCTTTTCCTTGGCTTTAATGCCTGGGTCTGATGGTTTCTCCACCAGGATGTGCTTTCTGGCCCAACGGTATCCATCTCCTACCGGTGACATGGTGTATCTCACTTCAGGTTTGCTTGCAGCACCCTCAGCCATTGATCTCCCCATTGTATTCCTTTCAGGCCTGTCTAGTGAAAGCCTCTGCCAAGTGGGGGTGTGGCCTTCCTTCTCCCATAGTTTTTGTTCATTATCTCTAGGAATCCTCATTCTCCAGGCACTTTCCCCCCATTCGCCCCAATAAGTTCCTTGCCAGATTAGATTTAGTTTGAAACGTCATGCTTTTGAATAGCATCTCCTTCTTTTCAATCCAGCTTTAGAGGTCACCGTGCCTCACTGTATACCTTTGTGTGTGTGTTATTGGCTCAGAGATAGTTTAACACCAGAGTCCTCTCATCCCGTGCACTCGCCATAACCCTACCTGCTTAAAAGCAGGCCATTTCTGAGGAGGCTTTACGTCTCATTTCAGAAGTGAGAAAAACCCAGGAGGTTCCTGGTTCAGTCCAATGACTCATCTCCTTCCCTCACCTTCAAGTGGCCATTAAAGCGCTCTGCAGTTGGGCTCCTATCCAGAAGGCTCCTCTCCAAAGGGCAGGAGAATGGTGCTAATCTTTGCCCTCCTCTCAGAGTTCAGCAGACATGCTGACTGAGAACTGTAGTCCAAAAAGGTAATTTTTCTGTTCTGCCTTCTCTCTTGCTGTGGGAATGATGATGGCCTATGGTGCCCATTAGCTTCCTGATGCATGTCAGAGCTGATGTATCTCAAATAAGAGCATCCATGCCAGTATTCCTCTTTCTGCTGCACAGTCTGTGCCTAAGGAGAGAAAAGGTGAGCAAGCCAAAGGTCTTTCTAGTAGTAGTTTTCTGGAGAGCAGAATAGCCAGCTCCAGAGAAACCTTATTGGCTGGATAACCAGCCATCTCCCTTCAAAGGAGGAAAGCATTATCTTTTGAAGAGATGTGGCCCTTCTGTTCAGCCTGCACAATACAGCTGTTTTGCTACTACATGATTTGTCACAGCTCCGTCCTATGGAATCCTGAGATTTGCAGCTTATTGAGGTATTTAGAATTCTGAAAGCCCTTATGCATCTCTTCCATCTCTAGCAGAAATTTCTAAATTGGCTCACCAAACTACAAATCCCACAATTTTATAGGATGGAGTCATTAAGCAGTATCAAACTGCTACAATTCTATTCTATCTGGGCTTTAAATGAGGAGAGTGCATGCATATTCCTGTGGTTGCCAAAAGGCTAAGGGCAGAGTTGCCCTGAGTCACAAATGGATAAACTATGGGGCTGCAGAATTGAGTTTTTAATCCAGCTAATGCAAGATAAACTTACTCACTCAGCAGTCTTAGCTTTGTTGTCCATGCGATCTTACTGTGCACCACCACCCATTTCCCAATGTATAGTTACAACATGATGCACCCACTGTGCCACGAGGGTAGATGCCCATTCCCCCTGGCTGTGTAAGCTCAGAACAAGGAAACATCTCAAGTTGTAGCCGAAGTCCAATACACTCTGACATCCTGTTTAGGCCACTCGGGGAATGACTGCTCCGTTGCTAGAATCGGCATCACTTACCAGTCTCGACTAACCTTAGCATCAGTTTCTCCTATTTTTCAGCATGCAAAAAAAGTTTGGATTTGATATTCTGGTTCAAGATGCATTCCAACTGTCTAGCTGGCAGCAGGGAGTTTATCGTTTCCATTCTCACTTTTGAGATTCTGTGTCCCAAGAAAAGAAGGATTGTCCACCCACCTGTAATCATTCTTAGTTGCCATACTGCTCCTGGCTGTGGGAGTGGATGGGATGGGTGGGATGAGGGACATACATCACTAAACCAAAGGAAAGCTTGGTGCATGTCATTTTCTTGACTGTTGCTAACCAGCCCCTCTTTCTTTACCTTTCTCTCCCTTAGCACTGCTTTGTGTTTTTATTTTATTTTCTTTTTTACTTTTATTTCTGAAATGATATATTTTCCAAGCTGTGTAAATTTCTTGTACAGACTAAAAGAAAAGTGTGAATAAAAAAAACATGAAGACACGTCTGTGTTTTTAAGAAAAGCCACATGGAGGTTTGATGGGTGGGGACAGCAGAGAGTGGAAGGTTGGGGAGAAGGTGGAATTGATGGTGGATGATGAGAGGCAGGGAGGCTCAGTGCCTGCTTCACAATGAAGGACCCTTTGCATTTAAACGCCACCCCACCCCCACTTCTCAGTGCTGTATGAAAAGTGTCCAGATGCATCTTATATCCATGCTGCCTCCTTCACCCACAGGTAGCATCTTGTACAATGTCTCTGAATGGTTTCAGAGGTGAAGTTATTGAATTGCCCTTTAGGAAATGGATGACTTCTGGTCCAAAACTGCTGCAGTTCAAGACAGAATGGTTTCTTTCCTTAAGCAGAGCTTTTCTTTTTAAGTGAGAGCTGACACGTGCTTGGAAGCAATTACTAACACGCTGGTGGTGCCAGGTAACAGATCCATCATCAGCTTGAGTTCAGAGAAGACCACATTGCAGGCCCGTCCTTCTGTTCTAGCTATGCTCCCTCATGACTTGTATCATCATGAACACAGTGAAGTGGCTCCTGAGGCTGGATGGAAAAAGCCTGCTTTGTTTTTCTGTATGTCACTTCCAGGATTGCTGCCAGTTTGTTCGTCATGGACTGGATTTATCATTCAAGAGTTTCAGTCAAAGAAAGTGTTGTGAAAATATTAAGCCCAGTTTCCTGCATTTATGATCTTCTGAGACTTTGGATTATTGTCTCTTGGAAAGCATCATAACCCATTTGCAGATGTCTATCTTTGAGTCTGAAACCATGCCACTTCTCGTTTTGTGCTTTAAACTTTTAAAAACGTGCTGGTGCCTGCCACAGAACCTGAGTTAATCATATGTCAAAAAAGTGATCAGGCTAGTTTAAACCTGGCCACGTGCCAGTTCTATGTACTGATACCTCTGAGCTACCCTTTCCTTCTGGCTCCTTACAGTTGGAGGTGACCTTGTTACTACCAAAACTTCCATTAATAGGAGAGTCATTTCAAGAACAACATGTCAAGAACAATGTTTTTCTCTCTGCTGTGTTTACGGACATGCTCACCTTGGCAGTCTGTTGTGAAACAGCTGGTCTTGGTAACAGCTGACCATGTACAGCTAGCTTTTCATTCATATCTGTTGTGCTTTCTGAAGACAACACGTGATACTTGGGCTACGGCACATTGGCCTGCACTGTCTCATGGCTGCCTCAAACATACCTTCCTAAAACTGGGAAGCTGCAACTTCCTCCACAGAGCCCCCAGCTTGCTGGGTGGCTGTCATTTTATCAACCTAGCCAGCGGTTTGCTTCATGGTACACTACTACCTTTCTGAGTGATAAGTAGGCATAGTAAGTGGGCCCTTTGCTGACCCCCTGGAGCTTCTTCTCATGTCTCAGCAGGTCATGTTCTTCAGGCCAGGTTGCTTCATCTGCAGCATTTACTTGGTTTTCTTCGGCACTTTCACCACAATTTCCATGGGCTCCTTGGCTTTGTTGCGGTAGGCCTGGCGGATTATGTCCACGGCTCGCTGGTGTGTTACATTCTGTAGGCTTTCTCCCTCCACAGCAACTAGCTCATAGCCAGCCTAGCAGAGACCAAGAAAATGATGAGTTAGGAAGCTGTAGCCAGGTATACCAAGTGTACAATACTGACAACAAGCAATTTTACACTGTCATAGTATATTTTCCTCAAATGATATTAGCCCCTTGGTAGATGCTTATAGCTCTTAACGTTTTCCAGTGGCTGGCAATGGACTCCTTTGTTCCATACGAGCCATGGCCGTTGCTCAGCTTAGGCCCATTCTCCATGTGAGTATTTTCCAGTCATAGAATTGCTATGCACAGTAGTTTGCATCTAGATGTACAGCTGACCTCTGGAAGCAGGCTTCTCCCTCTCAACAGCCCTTTTGGCCTCTTGAAAATACTATACAGCTGTGAGTGTGAAGGCAGGGGTCAGCTGTGGTGTGTAGGTGGATCCTTAAAAATCAAACAGAGGCATCTTTCATGAGCACAAAAGACACCGAACTTCTAATTGGTTCTAAACCAGAGTAAAGCAAAAGTCAAATGAGGGGGAGAGAGTATGGAACTTGTAAGTAATGAGTTGTGTATATTTGGGCATAAAGAGATCACATCAAGATTTAAAACAAAACAAAACCCCAAACAATGTACCAACAACTGGTTTTGGGGGTGGGGGTGTAAAACATAAGGTTTATTCCTACTGTATTCCTTAGGGGCAAGGGGTGAATTTTTCTTTCTTTTAGAAAAGCAAAATAGCTAAAACATTATGTTTCTAAAATAATGCTAATGGAATACTGGTGAACCAAGAGATAGCAAGTTACAAATTACTTTTAGCAAATGATGTTCCAGGTTCTGACATGAAGGAGATGGCAAGAGCAGGCATGGGAAATATTTGGTTTTTGGGCTCCATCTCCTAGAGTTCCTCATCCAGCTGGGATTCTGGGAATTGTAGTAAAAAGCCCAAGCATTAAAATATTTTCCATCTCCATTTTTTTTCCTGATCCATCGTTTCCCTTTGTCATAGCTACTGGGCATGGAGTAGCCTTTAGGCCAGGCCTTTCTTTGCTGATGTGAGAGGAGAGGTTTTCCCTCACCTGTAGCTTGAACCATCCCTGTCTCATTTCTTTCAGCCACTCCAACATGGGACAATTATGTGGGGTTGTTGTTTTTTTTAAATTGAGCCACCTGGCAAAATGGGCCCATGCAGCCTCCTACAGGAAGAGGCCACCAAAGGGGAAATTTAATTACAGCTGCTCCTGGGGACAGATGAAAAGTTGCATGGTGAGCAGGCAGGCTGGCCAAGGCCTACAATGGCTCTTTGTCAGTGCCCAGCCTCATTACAGAGCCTTTGTGAAATGCTGCACAGTGCCCCGAGCCATGGGGGATCCTGAATGGCATGATCTCTCTCTCTCTCTCTCTCTCTGTATGGCCTCATTATAGCACAATAAGATTGGTTGTATGTGTATGTGTGTTTGTGATGGGAGTATGTGCAATCATTTTAAAAGAGTAGCACTACAGAGGGAGGCTTGTCTGGTGTCAAATGGGCGATGTGACATTTCCATAGTGGCAGAAATGATGCAGCTGTGCTTATCCCATTCAGAAAGGAAAGGAGAAAGGATTCCTGACTTGGCGCCTGCTGTGTTAGCTTGCTTTTTGTGTCTCTGTGATTGTGTAGAACATTTTGATTGCTGATTTGTAAGTGTGATGATCAGTGTGAGTAATCCTGCACCATGTCCTCATGCTAGTCTAGTGACCTCCCTTTCTCACAACGTAGTATGAGAAGTAGCAAACCAAATAGCTGTGTATTGTAGAGTTGCATTAATTTCTGCCTGCATGTAGAGTTGCTCAAAAGTGCAATAATCATTCCATCTGGCATTGCTACCACCCATATTCCAAAATGGAAGAAAAGGTTACTTTCCTTTCTAAAAAAGGGATGGGCAAAGTGTACAAAGTGTCCAATACCCAGATGCCCTGGCGAGCAGAGACAAGGTTGAGGACTGATGGGAGGCAGGTTTCAACAGTATTTGAAGGGCACACTTTCCTTACCCATCCTTTAAAACACAACTACAATTGAGCTTCTAAATACTATTAAATGGAGACCCAGAGTATTTGGGGCAATTTTTGAGAAGACAAAATACAGTGGTGCCTCGCATAGCGAGGTTAATCCGTTCCGGATTAACCTTCGCTATGCTGAAGCATAGTTGAACGGGGCAGGGAATTCCATTTGAACGCATTAAACATGGTTTAATGCGTTCCAAATGGGCCAAATACTCACCGTTCAGCGATGCTTCTTAATGGGCGGCAGCCATTTTCGCGCCCTCCCCTCGCTTAACGAAGGCGCGAAAACGCTGCGCGCATCCATTTTGGGCCATTTCCGGGCTTCCGGCGGCCATTTTGGCCGCCAAACAGCTGATCGTCGGGCTTCATTTTGCGAAGATCGGTAAGCGAAACGCTTACCGGTCTTCGCAAAGCAAAAAACGTTGAACAATCGCATTAGCGATCCAAAAAAAGGATCGCTATGCGATTTCGTCGTTATACGGTGCGCTCGTTAAGCGAGGCACCACTGTAATGGAAAGGACAGTAGTGCTAGGAAAAGGTAAAGGCAGCAAGAAAAGAGGAAGATGGAGCATGATATGGGTTGACCCAATAAAGTTTGCAAGACTTGAGCAGGGCTGTTAATGCCAGGCCCTTTTAGAAGAAAGTAATTCATAGGATCACGGACATCAGAACTGACTTGATAGTACTTAACAGCATTTTAGGATGGCTAATATTGTGAGCAAATAAATGGGCAGGCTGGCAGGCAGAAGGAAAATGTTTTGAAATGAATAAGCAGATTCAGACTGTGCTGGTGAAGCCCTGTCCTCTAGGTAGAAGGAGAAATCGTCATATGCTTGCAGGGTTAACATGGTACTTTCCTGAGCACAGATTTAACCAGCTGAAGTCTCCCTTTCCCTCTTCATTCTCTTTGCTCCAAAATAAAACAATTTTTCTTCCCCAAGGAAAACCAGTATCTCTTACTTATATGTGTAAAGATAAAGGAATATCCTTCAAATTGCAACAGTTTCATGTGATTAAATTTTAATTTGTGTAGTAAAATCACAAGTGCAATGAAGGCTGTATGTTATGGTGACGGGAATGCAATTGGAGATTTAGTGGACAATAACGTTCTGTTGCATAATTTCAAGTGTGGGCTGGAATCTTGCGCATGTGTTATCTGAGTGGGAGCTCCCACTAATTAAGTAGGGCTCCCTTCTATGTACACTTGTACAGGATTAGGCCACTCAAACAGTGGTGCACAGAACCAGATTGTTTTGACAGGAGGAGAGGGGAGGAGCAGGCTCTGGAAAGCCAAACAAGAATGAGGGGATTAGGAGAGAGCAGAAGGATTGTTGTCTGCTCTAATGCAGGCTCCCCGTGTGACCTTGGACAAGTTGCTTTCCTGCCAGGATGGGGAAAAGGTTGGAGGATGCTGCCCTATTCTAGTGTGTGTATGTGTGCGTATGTGTGGATCCAGCTGTGCAAATCCCAGTGGCCCTTCAGAAGCAATTGCTTTATGCTTTAGCTGTCACAAATCCTTCTGAAAGAGGATAGAGCAAATGGTACAATATTGTTTGCTTTCTTCTGCAAAAGCTTTGTAGGCAGCTGCAAGCAAATTGAGAAACGAGACAGCATTATTATGCAAAAATGAAAATATAAATATAATATGGACCATTTAATTTCAGACTGTCTTTTCCTTCAAAGGCTGAACTGGGAGAAAAAATGTTGGGTGGGGAGGAGGGTTTGGCCCCTGTGGCAGCCACTGATGTAGTCCTGCAAACCTGCTAAGGGCTTGAAGCACCAGCATGTCTCCTGAACTCAGGATCTTGCAGGGTCTCTTCCTATTGGCTTTGTTGGTTCTCTCCCTGTATCCCCTCCCCTCAAGCAGCCGCTGTCTGCCTTTGGGTCTCATAGGAGTCTCTCCCTCTCCCGCCCCCAATTTCCTCTCTGGGTAGGGGAGGAGTCTTGTGCTCTGTCCAAGGTGGAGGGAGCCAGCTTATCCTTTTCCTTGCCTGGCTGCCTGCTTCGGATGGCTTGAGTGCTGCTTGGCTTGCTGTGCCCCAGTCTTTGACTCTATGTGTATGCAAGGAGCCATTCTGCAACTGCCTGGTTGGGCTGCTTGGAAAAGCCACTTCTCCTTCTCTCTCACCCAACTCCCCTTGTGTGTATGTGTTTTGCAGAGCTTGGAAGGAGGGGGTGGGTGGGATAGAAGAGGGGGAGGGAAAAAGCAAAGGCTCAGCAACTGCAGCTGCCCTGAATTTCACAAGCTTTCCCTACCCTCTGCTATTGTGTGCACTCAGAAAGGAAAGGGGCATCAACATAGAAAGAATGTGTGTGTGTGTGTGTGTGTGTGTTTCAGTCTCATGGAGAAACCCTGATTTCGCAACTTCACTAACAGTATGGGGCAGTTACTGGTGAACATTGTCCTGCTTCCCCTCCGTGCTGCTGCAACTACCTCCAGCTTTCCACTTAGAGATGCTGCTCCCCCCGGAAAGATCTTCTCAATCTTCACCATTGGCTGCAGTTTGGATTCTATTCCACCTGAAATACTGATCCCTGGAAAACAAAATGATACTGTGATGGACAAATCTATTGGCTTTGCTTTCACTTACATAAGGCTAAAAACACACACACAAACCACACTTGGCACTCTTTTTAGGTGCATGTTTTATCCTTTCCAATTTCTGCATCAGCATTTTGTAATGAATGGGAAAGCATTTATATGCAATTATGTATGCTTTTTTGATAAATATATATTTGTAGGTACTTTCTAATATATACCTTTTTACATTAATTTGTTAATTTGCACATATTGGGATGATGAGGATTGGAGAATCTAAAGATAAAAGGGCAAGTGTATTTCATTTTGCCTGTTAGTCTATGAAGCATGGATTGGTTATTTCATACTAAAATGCTGAGCAAAATAATTTGGCCTCCATTCTTATTGTGACTGCTTGCAAACCAGTAGGAAAAATAGTGAAGCCGGTGTAATCATTGTCATTGTCTCCATTTTCAAGATATTTGATGTCATTCACAAATATGTTTTTATTTATATTAAAACGTTTCTAACCCATCTTATATCTGCTGGTCTCAAGGCACAGTACAATTAGTGAGGTCACTTTAAACAATCTGAAACCATTTAAATAATGTTAAACAATTAAAATAATTTGGAACAACTTAAACAGAATAAAACTTGCAAACCAACAGATCAGAAAGCAAGCTTTGACTGACTTCAACAGATCTCAGATACTAGCGTAAATAACCAGGCTTTTAGTTGCCACCTAAATAAGAACAATATTAGCAGAAAGTTGGATCTCCAAGGGAAAGGCCTTCCATAACGGGGTGCTGCATCAGAGAAAGCTGCCTTCTGCTTCTCTGCTCGTTTAATTATTTAAAATATGTTTACCTCACTTTTCTCCTTAAAAGGACCCAAGGCAGTTTACATTAATAAAACACAATATAAAAGCTAACAGTATGTATACAAATAATTTAAAAGGATCAAACAAATACCATACAAAAATCATAATCAACACCAAAACACATTCAAAGCAATATGATACCATATACTGCATACTCACCTACCCCAGTCTTAATAATATAAGGAGAGGCACTCCAATTTTCAGTGCATGCATATTCCTATTTGGGTCAAAGTCCTGTTGCAACCTGTACTTACCTAAAGACTGTTTATTCTTAGGCAGACTGACAGTCAACAGCTCATATTCCTCTTTCTTCACATCACTGGGACCATTTGGGAGCAGACCATCCAAGACTCCATCCCCTGTCTCTCCTTGTGCAGTCCTGCTAGTCCCTGGGACCTCCTGGAAGAGTTGGGAGAGCTGGGGCCTAGCCCTGCGAGGCCTATTGATGACAGAGTACAGGGTATTCTTGGCTGTGTGGGCTTCTCCATCCGGACTCCATGCAGTGGCTTTGCTGTGGGTTGACTTGGGTGTACGTGGCCTCCCTCTGCCAGATTGTCCATCCCCTTGCTTTGTTGGTTTCCCTGATGCTTCCAGAGTGCCTGCAGTATGTTGGGAACTCCCAGACATTCTTGTGGGCTTACTGAGAAACCAGCGGGGTTCCCTGCCATCAGCAGCTGGGGAGGAGATGCTGGGGGAGGTCATGTAGGCATCCACTGGCACATCAGGGAGAGGAGTGTAGTTTCTGGGGTGAGTCCGCCTGGGGCTGGCAGAGACCTGCAGCCCTTTCATCCCATCCTTCAGCGCCGTCTCTGCCTCCTCTTGCTCCCCCTTCTCATTGGTCACCGGCTTGAGAAGGAAGCTGCCTCTAAAATCTGTAACCAAAGTCCACAGGATTTAAGGGTTATCATCCTACCCTCTTCTCCCCAGACCTGTCCTAGCTCTCCTCAGAAGTGGGGGAAACTAACCATTAAAAATATGCCCAAAATGTTTGTACCCTTAACTTGAAGTAATGGCTGAACATGTAAGGTTTTGCAGAGATTGGAATAGTTATTTTTTTGGGTTACAGCTGCCAGAATCCTACAGCTAACATGGCCATGGCATGTGTGGGTATGTTTATTCATTCTGCCCATACATCCTTCTCCACTGGCCACCAGTCATTAGTACTCTGTGCTGTTCTTGGTCTCTAATATCAGGAGGAGCCACTTCCTGCAAGTCAGCCCAGTGGTCCTCTACTCAGCATGACTCCCTTCAAGAATGGTGGCTTTCCAGGACGTTAAGCAGAGATCTTCTACTGTCCTACCAACACAGTTCTTTCACCTGGAAGTACTAGACTTACACAGGTCTACCTTTCTCCTTTACTCCTGAACAGGTTTGCCCAGCAAAGTATTCCAGAATCAGTATAACTAACCTCAGAACAGAAATTCAAAGTCTTCTGTGACATCTGCCCCAAAATGCTAAAAATGTTTCAATTTTTTTAAAAAAGGCAGAGCTTGCTAGATTAAAGTGTGGCGGTGGTAAATCCCATTCAGATACAATGACTCACCAGGCACGGGGGTGATAAGATGTCTCTTTGGAGGTGTGTCATGCTGTGCTGGGCGGAGAGCAGGTGACCTCACTGTGAACAAAGGGAACAGGAAGTGATATCTATCCTACATTGTCATTTATGCACTGATTTGCGGGAGTCCTACAACAACCTTTTCCTTTCAGTGTTCAATTGTAGGTCTTACAATTGTTATTTCTGGACAGCACCTCACAAAACGTATCCAAGCTTTGCTTCATTTCTTGAGCAAAAAACAGTTCCTGAGAGGCAAGGCGACATGATCACCGTATGCCTCCTTCCCTGCTGAAATCCTATCCCCACAGAAGCCACCTTGCGTTTCTATACTTCCATTTCCCAGGCCTTCTAGATCAATCAAAAAACAGTTCCTGAGAGGCAAAGTTACATGGTCACCATATGCCTCCTTCCCTGCTGAAACTCCATCCTCACAGAAACCACCTTGGGTTTCATTTATGGACAAAAGGCAGCACATATCTCCAGAAGTATTGCCCACTCTTAGAGAATGCAGAAGTGTGTGCAGAGATGTCAGGGAAGGAGGAGAGAAAGCTCACACTCTGGAATAAAGAGAAAGCCCTATGTGAGTTGCTGTTGACCTAAGAGTGGGGCCACATCAGTACAGAGGTCGAGGGTGGGGAAGAAGTGGCATGTGAGAACATTCATATTTCTATACTGTACTTCCATTTCCCAGGCCTTCTAGATCAAGACAATACTGAATGAAATCCTTACACCTGTTCTCACAATTAATCATGTCTAGTTTGTATAGTTAGGGCCTTAATTTGTCTGCTACCAAGCGCCAAATGTAAATATAAACATGTAATTTACGTGTTTCACTTAAATGTTGATATTCCAACATTTGAGAAGAAATATTGATTTAGCTGATTTGTTTTTTTGAAATTTGTCCTGATTTTTCTTTTCTGGAATTGATAGAAATATTCTTTTCTTGATGGCAATTCCTTTGGATAGTATTTGTTCCCTCTCAGCTGTATAGAACATCTAGCTTTAAAGAAAGAGGTTATTGACAAGATCTGCAAATCCATAAGAAAACTGTAGGCTAGGTAATAGAACATAGAATCGCCCTTCCATCTGCAATTGGTACTGATTCCTTTCTTACCTGTTCTGCTTTTCAGTGCATCATAGGCTTCTAGTTCCACAGGCACAACCATACTGTCAAATCGGCCTAGATCTGTGGAGGCAATCACACTCCTACAAAAAGTGTAAGAGGATATGATCAGTGCCACTTAACTGGTCCTATAATGTAATAGTACATGTCAGCCATGGCAATTTTTCATAAATTAAAAACTTCCAATTGCACCCCCAAAAGTCCTGAGGCTCCTTGAGATCTCTTTAATTAAGAGGACCATTGGGGGTGGTGGTGAATTTTTAATGTCTGAAAATCACTGATGGCAGTAAAATCATCCTGGTGGTAGCAGTTTTTGAAAATTGAAGACTCCCCTTTGCCCTGCAGCCCGCAGTTGCTTCACTTTGACAAAAGGGATCCTTTGGGAGCCTCAGGATGAAGCGAGTGGGAGGAAGGAATGGAAATTTGAATTTATTAAAAGCCACTGCAGTTGATGACATCATAAACCTTAGGTAGCAGAAATTCTGCTACTCAAGATCAGCCAATATATACTAGGAAATGAGAACCTTTTGACTCTTGCTCTATTTTGCAAAACATTTTATAGTAAAGAAACAAAGCTAAGCCTGGTCTTAGATTGATTGATTCATTCGTTTGTTTGTTTGTTTGATTGATTGATTTAAAGGCTGGCTTTCTCCCAATAAGGGGACACAAGGCCCTTTGTATATCTTATTGTGTGCCTATACTTTGATAAAAGCATTTGTAAGTTTCAGTATGGTGGCACTTAGGAAATTGGGATTTTATAAAGCTAAATATTCAGCTAATGGTAAAAAATGCAGACAACATATGTTTGGAGAACCATCATCCTAAGACACAAAATTTGCCATACCTGACCCTGAAGACAACCCTGAAAGAAGTTCCCAATATTCCTAATGACTGATTGAAGATAGAATGGATTCATTTACTGGCTTTCCTTCTTCATTTTCCCCTCATAAGAAAGAGACGGCAAAATGAACAAGTGACACTGGCCACACTTTTGGGTAGAGTTTCCAAACGTTGCTGATACAATCTGACCCATGGGGGCTAGAAGTGAAAAGATTCAGTTCCCAGGGATAGGTCATGGACTGAACAGGAAGAATAGAGTGGTTCGCCTAGAGTGGTCGTTTTGACCAGATAGGCGGGGTACAAATAGAATAAATAAATAAATAAATATCTTACTCCAGCAGAAACAGTAAACGTCCTTCTGGTCCTTCTGTGATCATGAGCCATGTGTGACAGCTTCCTAGTCTACAGTAGCATTTCTCTAGTGGGATAAAGCTATACTATACCACACAGAGTCACAGTAATGCTTCTGTCCCAAATACACCTATCATCTCTCTTGCCTCTTGTTCCTACCTGACATCTCTGAGAAGAAGTAACTTCTCAGGGCGGTCGAGAATTGCCAGCAATGGTCTCACCAAATCTTCCACACCACCTTCTTGGATGTACTGTCGGCAGGGGAAAGTAATCATCAGCAGATATCAAATGGGAGCCACATTCTGTTATCCAGTTTGGACGGCCTGCCTATTGAATTCCTACCCAACCGAAAACATGTTACCTGAGGCAAAGGGCAAGGGTATGTTTCGCATACAGAAGCCAAGTGAACTGGCTTCTGTAGAACCTTCCTTCAACATTAGCATATTTAAGGGCAACTGACTAGACAGTACCCAGAGCACACGCTGCTCCTTCGTCTAGGAGAGGGGCCTGTCTGGTGGACTGAGGAGAAACATCTGAGAACTCTATATCTCATTCTGCCTCATTCTATATAATGGTAGGGCTGGCCTTGACTCCTGCTACTATTACTGTGCCCAGACAGTCACTTATGAGCACAGTTGCTATATCTCTTGCTGCTCAAGTCTTGCCATCTTTCAGCAGTGTGGCTTTGGCTTCAGAATCTAAGGCAGCCTTCCTCAAGAACTGGAGAACATCTGTTTCTCTCCAAATATATTGGACTACAATTTGGCCATGCCCGAATGGCCTGGTTATGGAATGATGGGGGTTGTAGTCCAACTAAACTTGAGGGAATCAGGTGGGGGAAGGTTTATTTAATGAGATGGAGACAATGAGTTATTGTGACTTCATCAAAGGCTGGGAAATTAAATTGGAATATTATGCATGAAAACTAAAAGAAAATTCAAGCAAGCATTTAAAAGTACCGATTCTAAACCATTTACTTCCCAGAGAGTACGCTGCACTGCTCCACAATAGGACTTAATTATATGTAATTATACATATAAGACACACATTGTGAATTTACAAGGGGAACTCTTATATTAGGGTACATGGTGATTTTAAATTCCAGGCATATGAGCACAAAGATGGTTGAATCCCGCTCTTATAGAAAATGAAATGCTTTAAATGAAAAGGAACCAGACTCTGGGCTCCTGGTAGTGTCACCCTCCCTATGTCCTAGTTTTATTTGACTATCCACAAAACCCTCCCTCTCATTCACTAGTAAAAGCATCTCAAGATTAGTGCCCCCCTCTCTGTTCTTCTCAGTAGCATTCTTGGCAATGATGGCTGGTGGTCCAGTCAAGTGTTGGTTCAGAGCACCCTCTGGTGGGCAGTAGGGAGGCACTAAAAAGTGGCATTCATGGCGAGAAGAGGCAGCTTAAAGGGGAGGGAGTGGGGATAAATAACCATGCTGCAATGACTGTCAGACTGTGGGGCATGCTGGTCTAAACTAGTCTGAGGCAAATCATTGCTCTACACTACCCTATTTTCTGCTACCTTAAACCACTGGTATAAGGGCATACTGCAAATAAAGGCAAGCCAACAGACCAATACTTTGCTGTTAAGAAAATATACAGAGCGTATCAGACATGGTTATAGAGATTTACCAAACCAGTTTCCAAAGGGGAAGTCAGATTAGAGCAAAACCAACACAGAATTCTGTGGCTAAAAACTAATAAATGTATTATACTGTAAACTACTAGGTACTATAATCCCCCGTGTCCAGAGAAGGACAAAAGCAAAAAATGTGCAGGAAGAACAAAAAAGAAAAAGAAAAGAATCAGGAAGTATATAAAAGCAAGAGCAAAGCATTCAGTATATATTAACATATATAAAATGTAATCAGGTTAGGCATACATATTAATGTAATTTTTCGTCTTTAAGGGAGCTGCAGGCGCTTTGTTTTTATCAAACCAAAAAGCTAGCAAGAAACAAAATAAGGAAAACCATGGTCAGCACTTAGAGATGATGGGAGTTGTATTTCAATGACACCTGCAAGGCTGTGGGCTCCCCACCTCACACGGTGGCCTATCAAATTCCTCGTTGCGGGAGGGGAGAGAAAAGTTTAGACCACAAAAGTGGTGCAGAGGTGTGCAAATGGAACTTATGAGAGAATGGAGGCAATTTTAATTTTTTAAAGACATTGCTTGAAGAAAAGTCAACTTATTAACACTTGGTGGCAGGCAGAAGTAGTCTACTTACCCGGTTGCAGTGTCTCAGCACTGCAGCTACTTCATCCTCCATCAAGAGCTTCCTGGCCATGTCCTCAATCAGCAACAGATGACTCTCAAGGACTTTGCTATGTTCACTACCATTGTGCTGTGGAGACGAGAGTACAGAAGCCTTCGAGCTCAGGGAGGTGAATGGGCGGCCTTTTTCTGGGGAACAACCACCAAAGAAAGTCAGCACACACAACTTACATCACGGAGTAACAAAGTGAGGAGGAGAGCATCTGCAACCCAGAACCACAATTCTGCAACACATGCACATGCAGTAATACACACCTGAGCCCTGCTCCCAGAATTGTACGCACAAAAATTCTCTATCTACAAATGTTCCTCTCACAATTTTTTAAAAACAAAAATACAATCTGAGCTTGGAAAAGGTACTTTTTTGGACCACAATTACTAGTAGGTCCTTTGAGCCCTGAGAAATCCAATATGGCACAGTGGTAAGATGTGGAGAATTCTCTCACACAGCTTGGAGAAGGGTGAGAAAGGCACCCTTTGCACAGCCTAATGCAGAGTGTTTTGTTCTTCCTTCCAACATATTTTTCTGATTAAAGAAAAGAAGCAGCAATTGGAGGGGGGGGGACTTCAGATGGCCTATCTGTCCCTTTAGCAAAATTCAATGAATAAAGGAAGCAAAGTGATTGCACAATCTATTGATATCCTTGGGGGAGCAAGTAGGGAGTTGCTCCCCCAAATCCCAAATATGTTTATTGTTTTGAGGTACGAAGACAGACACATTGGCTTTTAATGGAATGCACATTGTAGGCAAACTGTCTTAACATATTACTGTGCTAGCTTTGAGCTCCTCCCTCCAAATTCCTGTGGAGACTGTCTTGGTACAGTGACCACTTCATCTGTATGAATCACCTTATTTGGCTCATAATTCAGGAAAAGAAGGCCACATTCTTTGTATTCAAGAAATCACAAATATAATAAATAAAGCTTGGGGAAGTTACATTTTTGTACTATAAAACTCTGGGAGTTCTAGGAATTTTAACCCCAAAGAATAACCTTTCCAAACCCTGATAATCATCAAATATCTGAAGGGGCAGCCTTTTATGAAAACTTGTTACCACAAAACCAGCCAACAGACTTGTGGCATCTTAAAGACGAATATATTTACCATGGCACAAACCTTTAAGTGAACTGCAGTCACACTTGTTGTGGCATAATCAATGTGCTAGTCTTAAGGGGACAGGAGGGTCTTTGGCATATGGACGTTTTTGTTCAATAAACCTCCTTGAACATTAGGTTACAACAATACATGTTGGTACATGTCCTCCTCTTGAACACCATGGCATGGAGTATTCAGCTTCTCACATTGAGTCAGGCTAGGTTGGACACAACAGAGCAGATATCTGTGTGTCTGCCCAGTCCACTAACCGACAATGCATGCATGTGTCTGTATTTACTTGAAGGGGAGGAGAACTTGTGGAAGAGTATAACCCTGTTACCTGCCTCATTTCACTTTCCTAAGCTATGTTACTTTAAGAAACCTGCCCCAGCTTAAATACTAGGCATCAACTGAGCTGGGATTCAATTGTGTAGAACAAGTTGGGTATAACATATGGTCCTCTAGAATGATGTTACTTTCCTTTCAGTTCCTATCCTTTTTCAGTGTAAACAACACTGCCTAGGGCTCATGGAAGATGCAGTGCTGGTTGTCCAAAGTGGGCCCTTCTTTTAATGTTACACCAGTAGTCAAAATTGGCTGCTGTGGTCTAAGAGAGGGTTCCCCCATTCCCCTTTTCCCCTCATGAGTCACAAGGCCTGCATTGGTCCCCAGGAGAGTGAGGATCAGGCTTCTGTGGCAAAATTACCTCACAGTTCATTCCGCCTTAACAACAACAACAACAACAATTTATATTGTACTCTACACCAGGGTGCATTCCAATAAAATCACAGCAAGTTGGCTTGGTGGTTAGAAATTCTGACTTTTCCCTGGCATCAACAGTAAGTATGATGATTAAGTGGGGTTTAGGTTTGGAATAACATCCTTTCCTGCCCTTCTTTATCCAGCCATGGGCAACTCCCATGATTCTGTTTACTATGCTGCCTAAGACTGATGGGACTTGTAGTCCAAATCCATCTTTCATGTTATGTCTTTTACTACAGTGGTTGTTCAACATAATTGGAGGCATGCTAGACAACTTTTCCTTCTAGAATGTTCTAAGTTCACAGAAAAGAAGGCAATGTTTGGAAGAAGTAGTCATTGGCATTATGATACAACTATACACACAGACATGCCAGACATGCACAATGTCTGAAAACAGGCTCACGTCAAGCTACACTCTGCTGGGAAAGGCCCAGCCTACATTCCAACTCAGTTACCCCATTTCAGAGTCCGGCTGACAAACCTCTGTACAACATTGACTGCAGATATGGGGGGTGGGGAGGGGAGACAGCACAAAGATGAAATAATTAGGAATCTGCTGTGAAGCAGGATGGATGAGAGGAAAATGGCAGCCATTTTAGACTGGCCTCTAGGCTGGTTGTTCACTCTGGTGGAAAAGTACAAAAGGAAAAAGGCGTACCTGCCATTAGCCTTTTTTGGCAAGCGTCTCTTTATGGACATAACTCCTGCAAATCTAAAACATTTGTTTCTGACACTCCACATCAGGGACCCAGTGTTTTAAGGCTTCCTTCCCACCCCTCTAAATTTGCTGCAGTGCCATTGACCATGAAAGCACAATTTGTCTTCTCTGTGTTACTGCCAAAAATAGGGGTGTGTGTATCCTACGCTTAGTTTGCCCCATTCTTCAAACCCCTGGAATCTGACTACCAGCCTGTTGCCACACCTGGTTCTAGATCTAGACGCAAGACTGGCAACATACAATTTATAGTCTACTTGTTTTTAAATATTTGGGCCCCTTAGATCCCTACTAGAGATCAGCATGCACTGCCAGTACAGTGGTTTATGCCAGTTCATTTAGTGGCCAAACAGGTGTTTGACACTTCAAAGTCCAACCTCTTCTGGTAGGGACCCACTCAGAGGCAGTGGCCCGGCTTCACTGACCCGCCTCCTCTGGATGCTGTCTCTGAGTGGGTGCTAGTCAGAGCAGGTGGGGCTTTGAGGTTCCAAACACTTGTTCAGCTGATTAAAAAACTGGCACAAACCACCAAACCATTGGTTTATGCCCATCTCTAATCCCTACTCCCATTCCCAAGTTTTAATAGGAAAAGACAGAAAATAAGGAAGCACACTTATCTTAAAGTGCATGGCTCCCATGTGCTTTGGATTGAAATAAACATTTACAAAGAAGCTTAATTTAATTTAAAACAAAATAAGTTTGTTTAATTTTGGGCTGTTTTGGGAGATAAGCTGGATACAAATAAAATAAAATAAATAATAAATGAGGTATTTTGGAACTGGAAGTGGACTTTTGGCTGCTTCTAATTTCATTGGGAAGAGGGTCTCTGATGATGAGTGTCAGAATATAGGTGGGTCTGGGTAGTGGAACATTCCTCTTCTCCAAAGCCACCTAGCCCTGTTCTACAGGTGCCGGAAAGAAGTCATGTCTGGATACCTTTCTCCCCCTCAGACTGTGCTGGTGACTTGGACCGCTTCTGTGTCTCTGGTGACCCCACGGCTGAGCTCGGCTTCCCTGATCGGGAAGTCTTGAAAAACAGATTCATGAGAGTTTTGGAACGCTGGAGAGTGACCTTCTTCTCTGAGGATATTGGCTTCTCCTTCTTCCTCTGCTTTTTCTCTTCTGGAGCAAGAATTCAAGAAGTCATGTCAAGAGATCACAATTACAGGATAACATAGTCTTTTCTGCAAAGCTACTGTTCCTGAACTGGTTGTGGATACCATTTTAGAAAGTATAGAGTTGGTCCAAGATGTATTCCTGCCCAGGGCAAAGGACTGCACCTAGAAATGACTGGGCTAGCATCTGAATCTTATTTCACAGCTGGCAACAGAATGTCATCCTTTAGTACACCTGAGAGCAATGGGCTGGTTTAGGATGTGTAGGTTAGGCCACTGGTTCTTAACCTTGGGTTACTCAGGAGTTTTGGACTGCAACTCCCAGAAGCCTTCACCACAAGCTGTGCTGACTGGGGTTTCTGGGAGTTGCAGTTCAAAAGCATCTGAGTAACAAAGGTTAAGAACCACTGGGTTAGGCTATGTGGCATACACACCTCTGTCTGCCTAGGAAGGGGAATGGCTGCAGGCTACCACTGCTGCCCCTCAGCATCTGCCACCTGAGGTAATTATGTCACTCTGCCTAGAAAAGGGAGCAGGAAGGTCTTTGGTTACAGCTCTTTGATTCTATCTTTCAAATGAGGGCTGAAAGTCCTCTGCATGAAGTACAAATAAAGGCAAGTGGGGGAAGGGGATGGAGGAAGGCGAGAGCAAGTTCTGTATTTCTTGAAATGAAATAATAATATCTGATAGAAAGTTATGTGAGCTGACTGAATAGCCCAGTGGTTTAGGTATCTGGCTTTGCAGTCAGAGGTTGGGAGTTTAATTCCCCACTGCGTCTCTTTTGAGTATATATAGTCAGCTTGTGTGGCCTTGGGCAAGCTGTACAGTCCAGGGCGCCCCCAGAAGAAGGGAATGGTAAACCACTTATGAGTATTGTCTTACTGGAAAACCCTGAAAAGGGTTATACAAAGTGACTTGACAGCTCATAATTATTATTAATAGAAAATCATAAGATTTTGCCTGAACCAGGTGTCCACAATGATATTATGGTTGTTCTGAAATAAGGTAGTTACCATCTAGTAGGAAAATGTCCTCTTTCACTGTATGCATCCCCATTTTGCTTATTGGTGGAGAGCACCCCTTGGTCCCTTTCTTTGCTAGGACCTGTTGTGTTTAAAAGCTCCAGCAACAGCAGAGCATTCTTGAGGGTTGAATGCTATATGAGCCCTGGGCAAGAGAGGCCAGAACTATTTTCATGGATGGGGAAAATAAGGATGGCGTATTAATCAAAGTACTGTATACAAAAAGCTGAGATTACAGTATTTAGTCAGTAGGAGTCATCACAGATGTACAGGTTCTCTTTTAGCCTAGGAGTACACATGGTTTTGTATGGGGACAGATAATAGCTTTCACTTTGCGAAGCAAGTGTTCTTGCAAAGAAGATTTATCAAGAGCCTAGAAGCAAGGTAGCTGCTTATAATTAAGATTTTACTACATTGTACCACAATTGTAACTTTATGAGATATGAGCGGATAATACTAACTCTAGTAATGTCTCAGAACTTACCACAGATGGTCAGATAACTTTGTGATCTTTTGATGGGCTGTCGTGGTCGGCTGAGTGCCAGAAGGAGAGCAGTTTTGGGGGAGGGCCCTGTTGTTTCCTTGGTAGCTGATGGCTGGCTCTTCCTCAGGTGGAATGAATCTTTGAAGCTCTCAGTGCGTATGGCTGTGTCTTTTAGGATTTCCATAGGTCGCACAATTCGAAGGGTCTCCGTTACCAGGCTCCCTGAAAAGGAGGCTCCGTCAGGCAAAGGATCAGTCTGCATAGCAGCCTCTGCTTTCTCTAAGGGGTGACTCCGGACTGGCATCTCAGTGGAAATGCCAACATCTACCATGCCACTTGAAGGTAAGCTGGGGATTGGAGCCATGAACAGACCATTCATGGAACTGTAGGGGGTCCCTGAGGAGTAGGATGACACGGAGGAAGAGCTGGATTCAGAGTTTTGAGACAGCTGCTGCAACTGGCCATTGGTCACTGCACAGAAAGAGAAAAACAGCCTTTTAGGAATTTCCAGACCATTAGCACCATAAATGCACAAAGGCTGTTCATTGCTGCACTGTCCAGATGTCTTCCCTGGACTCTACTTTTGTTCTGAGGTCATTGAATTTTCCCAGTGCTCAGTGTGTTATATTTTGTAACCAGAGCTTGTAAAATGTAGTTTTTTGAACAAAAACCCTTAAAATCTCCTAGTCAGTATGGCTCAACAGCCATGATGACTGAGGGATTGTGAGAGTTGCAGTAAAACAAACAAACAAACAAAAAAACCTAACCCTTCCATGTGCTGCCTGCAAGTAAGAAAAGAGCTGATATGGGAAATGTTTGGTCCTCCAGATGTTGGTATTGTATTTTGGTATGTATTCATTGATCCTTTTAGTATTGTATACATGCTGTTATTAGCTTAAATACTTTCTTTTAATTGTTGTAAGCCACCCAGGGTCCTTTTTAAGGAGGAGTGTACATTAAAAATAGTTTAAATAAATAAATAAAAACAAATGTTTGGACCGACAACCCCAATAAGCCAAGCGGTTCTGGGAGTTGTAGGTCAAAACAGCTGGAAGACCAAATATCTTCCACAGCTGTCTCAACTAGTACAGGTTTTGCTTTGTTTAATGAGGCTGTGTATATGGCATGAACATCTGTATGATATCGGAAAGCATTTTATGTGTGTGATTTATTCTATTTGCTCTGCATTTTTAGATGCTACCTGCTTATTGGGCTATTTCCTTATAGATAACAGCGATATTGGATGGCAAGAATAAACATTGACATACTGGGTGTCAGTGAACTAAGATGGACAGGAATGGGTGAATTCAATTCAGAGGATTATCATATCTACTATTGTGGGCAAGAATCCCACAGAAGGAATGGAGTACCCCTCAGAGTCAACAAAAGAGTGGGAAAAGCTGTACTGGGATACAATCTCAAAAATGATAGAATGATTTCAATACGAATCCAAGGCAGACCTTTCAACATCAAAGTACTCCATTTATGCACCAACCACAGATGCTGAAGAGGCTGAAAGTGACCAGTTCTATGAAGACTTACAACACCTTCTAGAACTGACACCAAAGAAAGATGTTCTTCTCATTTTAGGGGACTGGAATGCTAAAGTAGGGAGTCAAGGAAAAACAGGTTCATTTGGTCTTGGAGTTCAAAATGAAGCAGGGCAAAGGCTAATAGCGTTTTGTGAAGAGAACAAGCTGGTTATCACAAACACTCTTTTCCAACAAAACAGGAGGCGACTCTACACATGGACATCACCAGATGGGCAATACCAAAATCAGATTGAATATTTTCTCTGCAGCCAAAGATGAAGCTCTATACAGTCAGCAAAAACAAGACCTGGAGCTGATTGTGGCTCTGATCATCAGCTTCTTTTAGCAAAACTCAAGCTCAAACTAAAGAAAGTAGGAAAATCCACTGGGCTTGTCAGGTATAATCTAAACAAAATCCCTTATAAATACACAGTGGAAGTGAAGAACAGATTTAGGGAACTGGATTTCATGGACAGATTGCCTGAAGAACTATGGATGACTCGTAACATTGTACAGGAGGCAGCAACAAAAACCATTCCAAAGAAAAGGAAATGTAAGAAAGCAAAGTGGCTGTCCAACAAAGCCTTAAAAATAGCAGAGAACAGAAGAGAAACAAAATGCAAGGGAGATAGGGAAAGTTACAGAAAATTTAATGCAAACTTCCAAAGAATAGCAAGGAGAGACAAGAGGGCCTTCTTAAATGAACAGTGCAAAGGTATATAGGAAAATAATAGAAAGGGAAAATTAGAGATCTGTTCAAGAAAATTGGAGATATTAAAGGAACATTTTGTGCAAACATAGACATGATAAAAGACAAAATTGGTAGGGACCTCCCAGAAACAGAAGACATCAAGAAGAGGTGGCAAGAATACACAGAGGAATTATACCAGAAAGATTTGGATATCCCGGACAACCCAGATAGTGTGGTTGCTGACCTTGAGCCAGACATCCTGGAGAGTGAAGTCAAGTGGGCCTTAGAAAGCCTGGCTAACAACAAGGCCAGTGGAGGTGATGGCATTCCAGTTGAACTATTTAAAATCTTAAAAGATGATGCTGTTAAGGTGCTACATTCAATATGCCAGCAAGTCTGGAAAACTCAACAGTGGCCAGAGGACTGGAAAAGATCAGTCTACATCCCAATCCCAAAGAAAGGCAGTGCCAAAGAATGCTCCAACTACCGTACAATTGCACTCATTTCACACGCTAACAAGGTTATGCTCAAAATCCTACAAGGTAGGCTTCAGCAATATGTGGACCAAGACCTCCCAGAAGTACAAGCTGGATTTCGAAGGGGCAGAGGAACTATAGACCAAATTGCTAACTTGTGTTGCATTATGGAGAAAACCAGAGAGTTCCAGAAAAACATGTACTTCTGCTTCATTGACTATGCAAAATCCTTTGACTATGTGGACCACAGCAAACTATGGCAAATCCTTAAAGAAATGGGAGTGCCTCACCACCTTATCTATCTCCCGAGAAATCTATACATGGGACAGGAAGCAACAGTTAGAACTGGATATGGAACAACTGATTGGTTCAAAACTGGGGAAGGAGTACGACAAGACTGTATATTGTCCCCCTGCTTATTTATATGCAGAATACATCATGCGAAAGGCCAGATTGGAAGAATCCCAAAATGGAATTAAGATTGCTGGAAGAAATATCAACAACCTCTGATATGCAGATGATACCACTTTGATGGCAGAAAGTGAGGAGGAATTAAAGAACCTCTTAATGAAGGTGAAAGAGGAGAGTGCAAAAATGGTCTGAAGCTCAACTTAAAAAAAACCACAAGATCATGGCTGCTGGTCCCATCACCTCCTGGCAAATAGAAGGGGAAGATATGGAGGCTTCAGAATGTATCCCAGTTTGGTCTGGAGTTCTTTGTGCTTCATTTGATTAGATTTATGCCCTTGATTTGAGTCAATTGTAAACTTATGAAGTCAATGCATTGGAAAACTGAATTGGCTACACTGGTTTTAGTTTTGTGGTGGTGGACATGGAATTTGGATACTTGATACTCCCCTCCTAAAGAGGGGAGTAAACCTTAGGATTTCAGAGAGCAAGCTTTATGGGTTTGCACAATAGTCACCTTTAAAGTTTGCTCTTAAAAATCCAGCAGGCTAAAGTGATTTGCACCCTGGATCTAAATCAGCATGTATATTTGCTGTGTCCCAGAAAGGAATGTGGCCATATAAGTCACTCTGTATCAGGCCTATTCAGTTCAGCATTTGAAATTTGTCTGAATCTGGTACATGGCCCTAATTAGTACTTATAACCATCTAATAAAGCCAAATACTGGGAGATTCTAAATAACAAAAGGAAATAGATCTTAACACACTATTGAGCTTTGCTACAGACCAGTGTACTGATACCTATCAAATTGGAAAACATTAAAAGACAATTAGACTAATTGATGGAGGATGTGGTTATCAATGGCTGCTAGTGAGGATGACCCCATACAACCTCCACTATCAGGCGCAGTTTGCTTCTAAGTATTAGTGGTTGGGCAACACAAGTGAAAAAATGCTACCACATTCATGTCATCCTTGTGAGCTTCCCAGAGGCATCTGATCACCCACCGGGGAATGTAGTGGTTTGATCTATTGTACACAAGAGTCCACGTTCCATCAATATTTGTCTGTGTAGCATAGTATCTGCTCTCAAGCTACTGTGTGTATTTGTGAACATACATGTTTTAGATCCTGTATCAGTAGGGCAGTGAATCTGCTGTGGGTTTTGGTTGAAACTTTATGAAAGCTATCCAAAGTGTAAATCTGTTTCAGAGAAAGGGTACAGATCCTTGGATACCTCCTGCAAAGTTTGAAGTAAAGCCCAGAGTGGACTCATTAGCATCAAAGGTCATACATGCCTTTGATGATAAGATGCTTGCTTTAGAATCATGCTCTAGTATTTCTGATTGCTCTTCAGTAAAGCGGTATCTAGCATACCAGCAGAAGATGAAAAATATTCAGGAGCGTCTTACTTCTGTTGAGCCAGCAGTACTCGGCCACCATTTCCTTGTAAGCTGGGAACCTCCCTGTTTCCTAGATGGAAGGTGACAGAAGAGACAACATGTCAAGGATTGTTTGCTGCCTACCCAGTATTGTGCTGTGTCTTCAGAGACTAATCTGATCCCAGGCGGAGAAACACTTTGATAAATAATGCATCCCCCACCGCCAGGTCTCTTCCCAGCTGAAACTGTATCTCCTAAGTCTCAAGAGTCTAGGTCCCATGGTATCTTGGGGGAATGAAATTACTGGGCACTTGGATGATGGAGAGAAAAGTAATTTTTCTCAGATTATAACTATCAGAATCCTCCAGCTGGCAAGAGCACTGGCCATGCTGGCCAGGGGGCTCAGGTTGTCTAAAAAGGTAAGATTTCCATGCTGTGCCTTTTCATTGATAAAGTCTCACTTTCTCAGACCAATGTGTCTTGCTCTGCCCAGTTGTAGATAGGATTTTACATGGAGGGAGGCATTAGGGAAATGGATTGGACCTATAATAAGGCTGATTATGGGAAGCTGAAAGAATTCTGATGGCCTGAAAAGATTCTGCAACCTGCATATCAGTGCCTCTCATGGCTCTAACCTCCTGTCATGATGGGGCTATTATATCATTCTCTCCCACAGTAAACAACAGTTCCTTTCTCTGTCTCTGCCCCATACTTGGCAAGGTGCACATGCCTCACCTTGATGGTCAGCATGATATGGGTTTGCCCTTTTAGCACTTCGACTGCCTTGCTATGGCTGATGTCATCAAACTGGACTCCATTGGCTGCAAGGACTTGGTCACCAACCTTGATCCCATGTTGCTCAGCCAGCCCACCACGATCTACTCTGGAAATGATACAACAAGGGCATTTTTTTCCAAACTAGCATAATATGGAGCTTTAGTAGAGAAACTGGCTTTCTAGAAAAAGTGAAGGAGGATCAGAAAATCTGTTTTCTTGGGCATAATATGTTGTAGTGGGACTTTTATATTTCTTGAACTTCACCCCACACAATTCTCCAGAAGTTTTAATAGGCAGAATTCTTGGAGCTTTAATCAAGAAGTCAACGTCTTGACAGGTGTTTTCCAGTTTTTACAGCTGGTGAATTAAGGCTTTGGCAACTACTGTCTTTTTCCATGTATAAGACACTACTTTTTCCTAAAATCATTACATTAAAAATTGAGGGGCATCTTATACACGGAAGTAAACCAAGAAGAGAAAAAAACAGCCCATACCTTGCCTCTGCAAACAGGCTTCCTTCAGTTTAGCTTAGGCTTAGCTTCCTACGGTCAGGAGACTTAGCTCCCTCCAATCATGAGCCTTATGGAATTGATGTCAGCTGATGCTGAACAAACCAGTTGGAACACACCTCATTGGAGGTGGAGCCTGTAGGCTCAGATATAACAGGGACACGTAATGTCTGAGTGTTCTGATCCCAGAGGCTGAATACTCAAAGCTAAGTTAAGATTTCTTAAGTTGGGGGTTAGAAAAGGGGGGGATCTTATAAGCAGGGCCATCTTATAAACGGAAAAATACGGTTATAATGTTGAAGGGTGATGGTCCTGAATGATCAATAAAGACCCATTTGCTATACAAAACCTACTCCTGGTGAAGGGAAATTGATTTGTTTGTAAGGATTAACATTTTTGTCGGTATTATTGTATGCTATTCAGGCATTGAGATTGTCAGAATGAGTGTCCACACTTTAAAATTTACTATTGCGCTACGGGTTTACATAATATCAGTTGCAAGTGCTAGCTTTGTAGGCATCTGTGTCTAGAAGAGACTATTGCCCATTATTAATAGCGTGCAGTAGTCTGAGTTCAAATTTATCACTACTCTTCATCTGTATTTTGCCCTGACAATCTATATGGTCAAAAAGACAACCACTTTGGACTTTTATATTTCTTGAACTTCACCCCACACAATTCTCCAGAAGTTTTAATAGGCAGAATTCTTGGAGCTTTAATCAAGAAGTCAAAGTCTTGACAGGTGTTTTCCAGTTTTTACAGCTGGTGAATTAAGGCTTTGGCAACTACTGTCTTTTTCCATGTATAAGACACTACTTTTTCCTAAAATCATTACATTAAAAATTGAGGGGCATCTTATACATGGAAGTAAACCAAGGAGAGAAAAAAACAGCCCATACCTTGCCTCTGTAAACAGGCTTCCTTCAGTTAAGCTTAGGCTTAGCTTCCTACGGTCAGGAGACTTAGCTCCCTCCAATCATGAGCCTTATGGAATTGATGTCAGCTGATGCTCAACAAACCAGTTGGAACACACCTCAATGGAGGTGGAGCCTGTAGGCTCAGATACAACAGGGACGTGTAATGTCTGAGTGTTCTGATCCCAGAGGCTGAATACTCAAAGCTAAGTTAAGATTTCTTAAGTTTTGATTTAGAGAAGTGGGGGGAGGGTGTCTTATAAACGAGGGCATCTTATAAACGGAAAAATACGGTATATACCTGTGGAGATGGCAGGTGGGTGTGGCAAAGCTCCATGGGAGCCACAAGGAATTAGGGGTCTAGTAGGTTTTTGAGAGGAACTATTTACATAGGCTAATAGGAAGAGACTACCAGACCCCTAATTCTTTGAAGCTTCTATGGAGCTTAGCCATTTCTTCTATCTTCTTCACAGGATGAACATGGCTGCTGGAGGGTCAATTCACCAGCTGTAAGAACTTGAAAATACCTGTTAGGACTTTAATTTCTTGATTAAAGCCCCAAGAATTCTGACTGGAGGAATTTTGGGGGGTTAAAGTCAAAGAAATGCAAATGTCTTATGCCTAGGTACAAATATACACCCTCACAACCTTGAAAAGAATATAGTCAATCTACAAAAGGCACAGACAGCACCTCCCAGTGGGCATTTGTCTTTTCTGAGTTGGTAGCACAAATTGGTTCTGAAGGTATTATGATTCAGAGTCCCCATTTCAGACAGAAGCTTAATTATAGATATCTGCCCCCCCCATCTTCCCACATTAGTCTCTTAAATTTTTCTTCCATTTGCTCCAATGGAGATTTTGTTTTTGTTTTCAGCCTCTGCAAGTTGGGAGTTATATTTAAAGGGGGGGGGGGAAGGCTTCAGAGGGCAAATATTAGCATTTGCTACCTGCTCACAGTGGTACTGCCTAGACCTGGACTTCACATGCCTTGGCTGCAAGAAAGAAAATAAGGCTTAGCAGCATGCTTGCATGTAGTTTAGCCCTGAGTGACCTGATCCGAATTAGGTCCATACTGTGTGGGACAGGATTTTTTAATGCTTTGCTCCCACTGTGACTGCAAGTGGCTGACTCCCTTCCTTCATGCTTGCTGTATGCATGGGAAAAGAGCTCCCACTGAAGCTAATGAGAACCCTCACCTAAGGCAAATAGTACCGTTTTCCCGAAAATAAGACCTAACCTGAAAATAAGCCCTAGTATGATTTTTCAGGATGCTTGTAATATACACCCTACTCTGCAAGTAAGCCCTAGTTATGTTAAACCCCGCTCTCCACCACTGTGCAGCATCTATGCAAGTAAGCCCTAGTTAAGTTAAACCCCGCTCTCTATCACTGTGCAGCATTGTGCAGCAACCAGAAGAAGATGACATGACTGTAAAATAAAACATCCCCTGAAAATAAGGCCTAATGCATTTTTTGGAGTGAAAATTAATATAAGACGTCTTATTTTTGGGGAAACACAGTAGGTACTGCCCCTCCTCCATAGAGTAAAGCAGGGGTCCCCACCCATGGGCCTCCAGATGTTTCTGAACTTCAACTCACTCCCCCTCCTCCATAGAGTAAAGGATTAATACCCTCAGGCCCCTCCCATCATGGCCCTGAGTTGTATCTGGTCGACTGTGTTGGTCTTTTTGTGAAATAAAAAATTTGCACTCAAGAGAAAACTATATGAGTAACAACACATTTGGTTTGACCCTAGGCTGATGTGCCATCATGTCCAAATTAGGGAAGAGCACAGAGCTTGAGGCTGAGCAAGACTTACTTGGAGACATAGATCCCAAGGCCATACTCCTTTCCACCCCGGATATTGAAACCCAAGCAGTAGTCATCAGATGTGGTGTAGAGGTGGACTATCCGCCGTCTTCCTATCTCAGAACTGGTGTCTGATGGAGTAGAACCACTCTTCTCCACAACCAGGCGTCTGTTGACCACATCAACCCTGGGACAAAATTAATTATTGGCCCAGGATTTAAAACTGTAAGAATCTCATCCAGTCCATCCATCTATCGCTGAAAAATGGCTGCTATATTTTTAAATGGGTCTCCAGTCTGCCCCAAGAATAGTGGAATATCATGGACAGCCATGTTTTGCAGGCTGGCTTGCAGTAATAGAGCTCATTGAGTCCAAACTCATCACTGGGGCTGAGACATTATAAAAAGTGACCTGCTAGATCAGACTGAAGGTCTATCTAGTCCAGTTTTCCATTCCCACAGTGGCTAACCCATTGCCTACAGGAAGCCCACAAGCTGGACAGGAGTGCAAAAGCAGTATCTATTCTCCAGATACTGAAGGCAATAGATAGTCATCACATAACATAGCCTCAGAACTTGCTTATAAAAGGTTGGTTGAAAATATGGTCTTTCTTCTCCTCAACTTTATGTTATCACAACCCAGCTGTCTACATGTGATATTATGCTTTAAAACCAGACACTTCCAGTCATATATGATGTCCCTGCTTCCAAAAATAGTCAACCCAAGATATTTTGTTACCTATGATGGGAAAGCAAATGCTAGTGCCTTATTTAATAGCTTATTTATACACCTATTAGGGTTCTTTAAAGTAAGCCAGAAACGTAGGGCTTGGCTATGTAGGCTGGCTAGAGGAGGCTGGTGCAGGCTAAATAGTGTCATTTACGGTCAGGTAGAGATCCAGTATACGCTATTTGGAGCTATATTTGCATCTACATGCACCTCAAGCGACCTTACTTGGTCCTCCTCCTTGGCAAAGCAAAGCGAAGCGAACTATACTACAGAGCTGCTAGAGCTGTTAGACTCTGTAGACACTGCAAATTGAGGGGACTGTCAGGCCAGTCTCTGTCTCACATCTTTTGTTTTTTTGTTTTCTCCTTTCCTTCCTGAATTGCTGCTCCAGCCTCTTCCTGTAGCCTCTAGTCCTGACCTTGCTTGCCTCTTCCTGTATCCTCCTGTTCCTAAGAGGAAGATTTCTGTTTTTTTTTTTAATTCTTTAAAAACTATGGCATATCCAGACTGCCCTAAACTGGCTTAAAATTATTATTATTTTTGCTTTATAACTCTACTCTGAAGAGGAATTTTCTACAGAGTAGAATTTTTAATTTTCCAATGTCCTCAAATCATTAGCTGGTTAAGCTGTCTGTTTAAGCCACTTTTGATTTGGGGAAATTGAAACTAGCTGGCAAATTGGTTTGATCTCTGTGATTGCACACACTGGAGAGGAACCAAAATGGAGTGATCCTACCAGCACTTTTAAAAGAGTAGCCCATGACAGGGACCCAGAATGATGTGAGTAGGAACACTTTGGGCGCGGGCTGGTTTGCTCTAGCAAATAAGCAAAAATAGTGAAACAGCCCATCATTGCATTGGATGAAACAGACAGTGAGCCAAATGTAGCTATCCTGTTAATCTGGCCCCTGAGCACAAAGTCCTATGAGTGCCTTTCCTTTGTAGCAAAAATAAGAAAAATAATTTGCTTGGCAAACACAAAGATCTTCACTAGTGCCAGAAAGACAGATCTTCCTGCAGATTTTGCATTGCAAAATCTGGGGATCACACTATGAATGATGATCACACTGTTGTAGGTCATCATTTGCCTCACCTCCGAAGCTAAGGAACATAAAGATCTCTGAAGCCAATTCAGGTAAATGAACAGATTTTTTTTGTGGGAGAAGATGGTGCTTAACCTACCCTGACCCCAAATATTTCACGGTGTTGAGAGTTAAAGGAAGCACTTGGAACTGAGCCTGGAAACAGAAGAAGACCTTTGCAGTTCTCATAAGTAATGTTCTGGATGCCCAGTCCCAAGGAGTTATCTAAATATGCTAACTGAAAATGTTCAACTATCCTTAAGGATTGTCCCTACATATTTATGTATTACTGTCTGTGTGTACTATGTGCCAACAAATTGATTTTGATTTATAGTGACCCTTTCCAGGCTTTTCGAGAGACAGAATACACAGAAGGGGTTTACCATTCCCGTCTTCTGTGGGGCACCGTGGGACTGTGAAGCTTGCCTATGACTACACAGACTGCTTTTATCAGAGAAGGCGTAGTGCGGAATCGAACTCTCAACCTCCGGCTCCACATACAATGTATTAAGTAATCCAAGTGTGAAGAGATTAAAGTTTAAATTATTTCAGTCCAGTACAAATGAATGTATGTAAATTTTCAATTTTCAGACATTTTTCTCACATTGTCAGTCAAATTGCAAATAAATTTTTTTTTGAATTCAAGTGTGAGTTCACATCTTTAATACAATTTCCCCCTCAGATCTTAAATTCTAGTTTTTATATATGCTTTAGATTTCTTCATTGTTTGAAAACTTCAGATATGCAATTTCAGAAATTGTGAACAGTCAGATATTGAAGATCATTCCATGTTTCATACCATGTTACCTATGAAATGCTGCTGCATACTAAATATCACCACATGCTGCCTGTCAAGAGCAGTCTCACAAAAAGCATTGTGACACAGTACAGTCATGTTAGATATTTGAATTTAAGGCATACTCTGAGTTTACAGTGGGAAAAGGGGTTGCCCAGTTACCATTTTGCAAGCTGAGTCTGTATTCTAGATCAGTGGTCCCCAACCTTTTTCAGACCGGGGACCGGTTGGGGCATGCGGGCTCTGTGTATGGACCGGTTGGGGGGGCAGGGCACCTCTGCCCTCATGGGTGGGCATGTCACGCTTGCAGTTGGATGTGTTATGCTTGCAGAGGGGCGTGTCAAGGAATATGAATATTGGCATCACAGATGCTGTGGAAATCTAGTCTCTTTCCCCAAACTGACCAGTCCACTCATGGGTTGCCACACTGTGTCCTCATCATTGCACCAATTGCAGAAGCACCCTCGCTGGCTCTTCCCCACCTCCCTATAGGCCTTGAGCAGAGGGGGGGCAGCTTTGCCATGGCAGCTTACACAATCCTGGAGGACTTCGAGCTGACGGGCAGTGCACCTGAGCCAGGCCTTCCTGGACGAGGGCTTCCGCACCCTCTTTGCTGAGTACGCCGCCCAGGTGGCGGCCCTGGAGCATCAGCAGTGCATCAAGGCCTGCTTCCTCCTCCTGGCTCCTGGCTGGGTGGGTGGCCAGCCCATCACAGGAGTGGCTGTGAGGGCTTACCAGAAAAGGTGTCATGTCCTTCAGTCACACTGACTCTACTGTAGCAAAGGGATGGGGCAAGGAGAACAAACCATTTCTCCATTCCTGGCTCTATCTCCTTTGTTGCTCCTTCAGGGGCCAGAGGTGCCTCCTGGGCCCAGCCCCCCTCCTTGCCTTGCCAAATCAGCACACAGCAGCAGCAAGAGCAGCAATGGGGGCAGGAGACTGGGACCCCGGGAGGCGGACTGACAAGCCAGCTGGAGCAGCTCCCTGAGTTAAGAACTGGCAGCAGTGCCCTGGCGGGAAGCAACGGCTTCTGCTCCAACTGCCTCTCTTCTCCAAGGCCTGGACAGACCCTCAGGGGCAGTCACAAGCCTGGACTCCTTGCCTTCCCTGCAACCAAAGGCAGCTCAGCTCCTTGCGGCTGGGGGCCAGGCAGTGTGGCAGGGAACAGCGGCTGCCGGCAGGAGCACTCAGGCCACCCCACCAGCTGGTGGGCACAGAGGCTGAGCCACCACCGGTTTCAGGGAAGGTGAGGAGTCCAAGCTCGGGACCGCCACTGCCTCCACCGGATCTCAACATGCCCCTCTGCAAGTGCGACACCCCCCCTGGATGGTTGGGGGGGGCGGAGATCCGTGTCTGCGGCCAAGTTACAGCTAGCCCACGGACCGGCACCGGGCCATGGACCGGGGGTTGATGACCCCTGTTCTAGATTACATGATCCAGAACAGTATGTAATTTACATAGCTTGCAGGTAGACATGGGATATTGGTATTTGTATCCCTGTGGATAGTAATATGAATATTGGCATCACAGATGCTGCGGAAATCCAGTTCCGTCCCCCAAACTGACCAGTCCACTGATGGGTTGCCACACGGTGTCCTCATCATTGCATCAATTGCAAAAGTACCCTCGCTGGCTCTTCCCCACCTCCCTATGCAGCCAACTGCTCAAGAGCTGAGTGAGGAGATTCCCCACTGGAGTGGTTGGCTGCACAGGGAGGCAGGGAAGAACTTCTGGTTTGCTTCTGCAATTGGCATGATGCCAAGGACAATGGCCACATGTGCCACACATGACCATGAGTGGACTGGCTGGTTTGGAGGGGGGGAGGGACTGGATTTCCACAGCACCTGTGGTGCCAAAATATGAATATGAACACCCCATGTCTAATTGCAGCTATAAGTATTGATAAAAGAAAGTATCACCAGAAGATAAGAAATCTGGAAACTGGGTGATAATTCTTATTTGATTTTTGCATTGACACTATTGTGATCAACTATCGAACAATGGCAAAGATAGTCAGCTATCAGACATTGAAACTATGGGCCCAAATCCTGTTGCTTAGCATAGTAAACTGCACTAGAGTAGGCCAATTGAAGCAATTGAAGTTACAGAGGAGTTGACCCACCGATTCTCCATTGGTTCAATGGGCCTACTCTTGTGCAATTTACTATGCTAAACAATAGTAGTTTGGCCATGGTGTACCATGTCTTGATGTCAAATACTGAGGAATATTCATGCTCCTATTCATACTGAGGTGTGTTTGTGGAAGTAACTTCATTTCATCTTTACATTGACAGCACAGTATGTTCTCTCTGGCTTGGAATTTTTGCTGTGCCACTCCCTAGTTCAGCTATGGGTTCCTCAACAGAATCTTATAATTTCTTGGAGTGTGGTCTTTAGGAACATGATATTGCTAACTACTGGAGCTGGTGAATGCCTAGCTGGGTGATTATATGAAGCTTCATGCATGCAGTCTTGAGTTTCCTGAGGGAGGCAAGTGGGATACAAATCAGCTGTGTATGGTTTTTTTTAAAATTTGCTCTGGGACCCCTAATGAGCCCTGTTTGTTCCCTTTTAGACCACCTCCTTCCTGCCCTTCATTTTATCAAAACAGATGTTTATTCCTGCTGCTTACCACTATTCATGTTCAATCAGCATATTATGTAAATGAAGCCTGTTTCCAATCAGAGTTCCCATATAATTTAAGTTGGAGAAAAGAGTTTAGCCCAGTAACCCCATGTTGCCCTCCCTCCTCCCTCCCCTGTTCCCTGGTCAGAGTTCACTCTGATACCATCGCCTCGCATCTCACGAAACCTGATCATCCTGTCTCTGCTCCACTGAGCCCAGCACATTGCCTTGGGTCCATACAAACAACACATTGTGATTTTTGGTTACCCAAGGCCTGCTGACAATAGGGTGTCACCGTAGTAGGCAGTTCCGCTTACCATGTGGTCTTTTCTTTGGAGAACTTTATCCCTGGCACTTTGCCCATGCGTCTCACGACCATCCGTAGCCGGTTATTCCCTGTCAGGACTTTGACTGCACTTCCCATTGTAATGTTCTCCAAGCTCACACTGTTCACTTCTGTGATTTTGTCTCCAACACACAGCCCAGCCTGTTCTGTTGGTATAAAATATAGATACCTTAACTTGCTCTAGAGACCAGTGAGCTTTTCCTTTGCCTTATCATTTTTTATTACAATAAAATGTTGTTTTGGAAGCCCTTGACTTTTACAGGCACACTTATGTATTTATTAGTAATATTGAAACTGTCAAAACTCTGGATTCATTGAACAAGAAGCCGAGAAAAAACCCAACAAGGAAGAAAATGCTGGAGTTGCTGGGGGCAAGGGAAGCTGCACAGAACAGCTGTGCAGACACACCATCCAAGTGCATTTCTTGCCCATCTGTAACTCCCATAAATCAGGTGACTTGACAACGCAAGGCAGCAACATTTGGCTCACGGAACACCTTCCATCTCTATTTGTTACCGTCAAGGCAGGTGAAATATCAAAGTGTTTGATGTTCATATACGTGTGTGAATCTGGTAAGTCAAGAGTGTCTGAAAATCTTTCGGGGTGGTCCATAGTGATTTCTAAGGCCATGATTAAAATGCTGCTTCTTCACTGCAGCACTAAGTAAACATATGAAAAGTTCTCTGAGCATCTGGCATTTTGTGACACAGTTCATTGGTATTTTTTTCCAAAGATATTGAACAAAACAGCATGCATACAGAAAAGTTTCGATCATATTATTTCACCAAGACATTGGCTATATTTTGCAGGGAAAGAGATAAGCAATGATTCTAGATGCCCCTTTACAAGAAAAGAGTAAATCTGGAAGATCCTGTGAATGCCACATCTAGTAGAATGTCTTATGCCTAGAAATTATGAGGAACTTGTTTGTTCTTCAGGTTGTGGGGACAGGAATAATGTTTTTTTCTTACCTGCACTGCTGCCTTCCTCCACCTTGCTGACAAAGATACCAAGGCCATGCTCTGACCCCCCGCGTACGCTGAAGCCCAGCTTACCAGCTGTGCTCTTTTCCACCGTAATGGCATGGATCGCATCGCTCTCATCACTGTTAGCTATGACAGAGATACAGCAAAGCTGAGAACTATGAAATTAAACGGAATTTTTCAAGAAACGCAAAATTTTTGTTTCTATAGATCCCATGCTTGAAGTTGGCTGTAGCTTCTGACCAGAATTTTTTTGAGACTCTTCAGAGTCTATGGTGGTAAGAAATGCCTAGAGTTTTTTCAGCCACCTTTGCCCTTATTTTCTTGTTTTTGCCCTAGAATCTCAATTTTTTTCACCAATCACTTCCATATCCCCCCTAATCTATTTGTAATTTGATAAAACAACTGCTGCCTACTGCAGTTTTACAGGTTACAAATGAAGAAAGCCAATGATTTCTTATTGTAGAATGTTTTAAGCCTGCTTTACTGTAATATCAACACTGCTGGGCTGTCAGGCAGATTATACTGGCTCTTGCGTCATTACTCCCTCTGCCAAACATGCTAGCAAATATTCTCATAACAAAAGGTATATGGCAGCCTTGCTTCAAGCCCTGGTGCAAATCTTGAATGAAAACAACGGTGTCTTCAACAATATGGGAAAGGCAAAGGGCTTTATTCACAACACAGCTGCTAAATCTAGGAGCAGGCTTGAAGCAGCCATGTTGAATTTAGAGTGAAAAAAGTAATGTCAGACGCAGCTGAAGACAAATGAGGCACTAGTGGGATACAGAGGCACCAGGCAGGCTTTTGTTCTCAGGACCAAACTAGACATTACCTTCAATGCCTGGTTAAAAACCACCATATAATGATGGTCTGCGGTAGCAATCATAATAAAGTGAAAGGACTGATGCCAACAGAATTCCTCCCCTTTAATGTTAATTGAAGCATTGTGCTTGTGTGTGTGTGTGTGCATGCAAAGGTTTTTGCTGGAATTGTGGAATTTGTTGGAAGGTTACGTTTAAATCTTCCTCTTGCAGTCTTCATGAAAATCACTACCCCTCCTAATTACATTGTTAATTAATAAAAATCAGCTAAGATTGCACATCATGCAAATACATCTAGGGCAAGCAGCGTCAACAGGCAGAGTATGCCACCTAGCACAGCTTGGCAAGTCAACTTTCAAGAAAAGTGAATATAATGAGATGCTGAAGTCCCTCACAATTGAATGGTTGTTCAGTGACATTTAGGGCTTCAGACCATCATCTTTCCAAAACTCTTTTATGGAGGACTTTAACAGATCATCATGATTTTTCTTAAAAAATACCTTTCCAGATTCTGTACTTCAGATTGCAAATGCTAGGTGGCAGCAACAAGATGTTAGAGAACAAATTTGTCTGTTCCCTGCAACTTGTCCTGCAACCCATCCCAGACATTGGAGGATGATTCTCTGTCGTGAGTGCTTAAGACTGAACTGCCATTCCAATCAACTTTTGTATGGAGAATGGGATACTCTATGCTGTCCCTTTTCACCCCAACTGTACCTTCAAGTGGTGTGTTGATGAGGATAACTCTTCCCATAGGGGATGAAGTGCGAAAGCCTCGATGGTTTCCATTCATCAGCCGGTTCTGCCTACTCAGTAGGAAACGGTTAGCAGTGCTGATTTCACTGCTGGAGCCCCGAGAGTGAGTAGGGTAAACAACATCTTTTGGGAATGAATCAGGAGCGTGGGCCATGGCAGGTGAGGATGCTGGCTGCTCATGGAGAGACTTCCACAGATGGATGGTGTCTATAGATCGTTTGGAGTATTCTGTTCTGGACGGTGGAGATGTCCAGTTCCTTTCAGGAAGATTGGCGAAGTGTGTTACATTTTGGCCCCTTAGGTTGCTTCCCACCAATGGAAAGAGTTGCTGGACATATTCCAATGTATCATAGTGTAACCTTTTGTGGACTGATTTTGTTCATGATATTAGCACTGAGGTTTATCCTCAGGAAAATCAGCCAAACACCCCTGTGTCTAAAATGCAGAACTTGGTGAAAACATCTTACTTTTCATGGAATCAGATGCATATTCTTTCTCTTACATCCAGAATGGTGTGCTAGATCAACAACAATAACAATGACAATAAATACTATTCCCAAATTAAACATGCAGCCTTCAGTCAGAGTTCTGTGAGCACAAGATGTTGGATGACAAATCCCTTCTGAGTTTGTGGTAGAACACAAATTTACTTTCTTCTTATACAACTCCTGAAATCTCTTGCCGCTCCTTCCTCTGATTTTGAACTGCTAAGAAAGTCATAATACAGAATGTTTATATGCATGAAAACATTTACATTTATATAGTAGAGAGATTCCATTCCATATTAAAATAGTCTAGTCTAAGAGGCAAATTTTGCTTGACAGTAGTTTGAGGTCTTTACAAAAAGAAAAGTCTCAAGTACATGCACCATAATAGCAGAGATATGAAAATAAGAATTGTGACTCTATGGCAAGAAACATAGATAAGAGGGATGGAGGTTAAAATGGAAGGTACATGATACCTATGAACACAGGAAGATGGAAATGTCAGGGTTTCTCTGGCCAGGCAGTGCCAAGGCAGTTAAGAAGCACAAGAATAGCTTGTAAAAAAAAATGGACAGCAGGTGCAAAAATGAAACTTACTAAGGGAGGCTGTCCATCAAGGACCCAGAATTTCTGAAATAACCAAAATTGGTACTAGTTTTCACAGGACTGTTTGGAGCATCAGTCACCTGAGTGTGGGCGATTCTACGGGTCCTAACCTTCTACAGGTATTTGTAGAATCTATGAGTTCTTCTCTTAAACGTGGACGTCTTATTTCTGTTTCTGTTTCGCATTTTGCCACAAAGTCATAGTAGCTATTGTTTACATTTTTCTTTATGTCATCTGAGTAAACCAAATGCATTTCTAGCTGTAAGGTATCTCTGGTGGCAGTTAATTGTGTGAATGGTAGGAAACCATGAGTCTGGTGTTTCCCTGTGGGATGGGGGCTGTAGGAAGCCATCTGAAACAGGGCCTGGGTATATGAATGTGGCCTTGGCAGTGAAAATGAAACTTCAGCTAAAAATAAATTCTACATTAATATTCTAAACCGTATTTTTCCATTCACAAGCTTGAGAAAATGAAAATTGTGCCTGTCAGAATTTTAACAAAATGACTAACACCTGCCACACTGTTTGTTGGGTCCCTCTTTGATGTTAGGGAATCTAATGTCTAATCCAGTAGTTTTAGACCTTGGGGCATTTTCTGTTATCTTAAGCAATATGATGAGAGACTATATTTTCACACTGATAGGAGTAAATGTATTTGATAGGCAGGCATTATCACCTTGGTGGAACTATAAAACACCATGGAATTTATATGGAACAAAAAGCAGATTTCTTTTCTTTTCTTTTTTTTACTTTGAATTAGCTGACTTAGCAAAATAAGAAGGTACACCGAGAGTGGGTCTGACTTTCTAATGTCACAGTGTGAGTATGTATGAGGAGTTTATGGCTCGAAACATCTATTGAAACATCTAGTGGCCTATCTCAAGGCTTATAGCCTAGCAGTCAAGTTTTTCTGCTTTGTACAGAATGATAGGACAGAATGCACTGAAACAAGAAGCAAATTCTAAAGTGAAATGCTTGAATTTCTCAAGAATTGCATTATATTGGCTTCAGTTGTCTATGTTAGTTTACTATGTTCAGTGCCATGGTGAAAGGATGTAGAAACAATAAGAAAAGGGCTGTTCTCCAGTCTTCCTTTTTTATTTGGAAATTATACTCCAGGATATACATAGACACTAGACATCAGGAATATATTTTTTAAAAAATGATAATACTTTGTGGAAACAGCAAAACAAAACAATACAAAGGCTGTGTGTGGTTCAGTGAAATTAAGCACTTCAGAGCAGCCATTCCCAACAGGGGCCATATGACTCCCTTGTGGGCCCTGGAACATCTGAAGGGGGCCACAGACTGGATACAATCCTTCACACACCAGTTTATAATATTTGTTATGTGACTTACACAATTCTGATTTGGCCTATGTTTCTTTTGTATTGCACACATGTTCATGGCAGAAAAAGAGAAGAAAGGTTGAGAATGGCTGCTGCAGTGGTTAAGGTTGCACTTCTATACACCAATATAGATAATGAAAATAGGGTAAAATAGATAAATAATACAGATTTATCTATTTATGTCATACTAGGAGATAGATTACAGATAACAAAGAATAGAATAAAAGTTACATATTTTCAAAATTGTTCAGTTTATATAAATCCATGCAGTTGTGTTATCTTATGATAGAATATATACAATAGTGAGTTTATCCTAAGATATTATTTTACATGAGATAATCTAGAAATATGGCTGGCAAGAAAATCTCTCCTACACAACTCTTTTATTGGACTATAGCTCTTCTAAAACTCTGAACATCTGACAGGGGCACATAGACACTAAGCAACTCAGAGTCAGAAACCTACAAAAATATAACAATGGAACTTGCAGGCATACAATGAGAACATAACAACTCCCTAATTGCAGCATGCTTAATAGAATGAATCTCACTTTGGAAATGTCTCTTTAAAGTTATTATATTCAGTACAGTAGTTACTTCTCATTTACCCAAGAAATACTGAGAAATGAGTCTGATCTTACTTCCACTGATTTCTCTGCAAGTTTATTTTCCAGTTGGATCTCACTCTGTTTCAATCTAGGATTTATTTGCATTCCTGCTTTTGAATAATAGAGAATACACCATTTTCCATGGTCTCATCTTCCATTAAATTCCAGATGATCTGGGCTGACAGTATAAACAATAGCTACTACGAAATGCAATGACAATTTTAAGTGCTATTATATTCTAAACAAGGAGCATCGATGTTGCTTCCTTCTGCGTGATAAAATTGACAAGGGTGCTGCATATGAGAATCTGGAGAGCTCTGGAAAGTCCTGGAGAGCTCTCTTGTTCTGCTGTGTAATCACACAGTGAAGCAGGGGAGAGACATGGGGGATTTTCCAAGCTATTCAGCATCAATGATACGCAATCCTCATTTCCCCTCCTCTGTCTCCTTTCTTGCACATTAGCTGGAATGCAGCCTGCTTACTGAGTGACCTGACCTTAATAAATAAGTGATGTCATCCGTTCCATTAGAGATACAGCACGGGGGCGGAGAACTTACAAACACTTGTGACTGAGGACGAGATATGTAGCATGTCCCACTGAAAGATGGGAGGCCATTGGTAGAGAACTTAGCAATTGTCCCGTCTTAGAAAAGCAGGAATTTTCAGCACCCTGGAGAGCTCTCCGGAAAGCACCTGAATAAAATTGCAGGTAAACTTTCTCTTGCGTTACTCTCCTGTTAAACCTGGCAATTTTTCATGATAAAGCACAAAGAAATCTACAGGTACTTAAGAGAGAGAGAGAGAGAGAGAAAGGGTAGGATTCTCCATCAAAGAACCTTACATAATCCTTAATTTGTCAACCCCTTCCAAGCCCTCTCACCTGTCTCCATGTTGCTCTGCAAACTTCCTCACCTGGACAGACACACAATTGTGCCTGCAAACCTGGTGGTTGCAGAAGGCACCTCCCACCAGTCAATTCATGTCACATGAATTGGCTGGGCAAAGCAGGAACAAGAATCCTCATAGGTCAGAATGGATGTCAGTTATTCTTAGTACTTCCTCATTGTATCTGTTGTACATGAAAGGAAGACAGCCTGCCAGGTGAGTGTTTGAAGTGGAAATTCTAGCAAGCAGATAATATTGAGATGAACACAGGTAATTTTATGTGCTGTTTACTTTTAAAGCTGGATCACTTGTTTAGTCATATATGTTCTGAAGTCAAATACAGCAGGCAAAGACACTATGAGCCAAACGGTATGTGTGTTCATATGCCATGGCTATTTTTTGCTAATTCCTTGAACTCATTATTTAAATATCAAATTACTTGAATGAGATTATTTTCTATATTTTGATCATGTTGCTGACATTGTATCTCATTCATATGTATTACATATTTATGAAAATTTTAATAAGAGCTATATTATTTGGTTCAAAGGTTCAGCAAAATAATCTCAAATCTATGCATGGATAAGGAGGGTGTATGCATACACAAAGACAAGTAACATACAATTACAAATTCTAGACTTTACCATACTTTCTGTACCTAGCACTTTCAAAGCTTTTGTCAGTCAGAGCATATTCCACTTTATAAAAAAGAACCAGTCACTACATGGGGGAATTAGTGATCTGGTAAGGTAAGCGAAAGCTGGAATTCTTATGCTAGCTTATTTATTAGATTTATGTCCAGCTTTCCCCTCAAAACTGGAACTCAAGGCCAATCAACACTATTTTTTAAAAAGTGGAAATTTAAAAAACCACCAAGTAATAGACATTGGTGATCCCACATGACCTGCTGCTCGTTAGTGGTAACATTTATAGATGGTGTAATTCTACAGTGAACATGCTAGCATTACATTCTCTTAATTCTTGAACAGATCCATAATTTTCTTTACAGGCCTCAGCACCTCTTAAAAACTAGGAAAAATCTTTAACAAAGAGAAGCTGTAAAATCAAAGATTTAAGAAAATTGAGACACTCTGGCTCTAGATGACTGGAAAAGTTAAGAATCACACAGCTCATCCTTGGATGAAGCAGAGCAAATCCAGGAATACTGAAGCAAAGGAACCAGTACAAGGTTGGCACAAAGAGTGACGGACAAAGCCTGGAATAAAAGTGAGCATTCACACATGCAGGAATTTACTCCCTCACACAGGCAGCTGTTCGCTCAGATGTGGCTGCAACCCATTCACTCATGCTGCAATTCAGCTACGGAGCAGAAAAATATAGCCTTGAATAAAAAACGATCCCAACTGCAGCTCGTATTTTCCCTACACACAAACATATATAAATTTTCACACAATTGAGGAGGAAGGGACTTGTTGCCTCTAGTAGGGGGGAGGTGGGAGCGTACTCGCTGGAGTTAGCCGTGAGCCTGATGTGGGGTTGTGCTGCACTTGGCTTAATGATTCGGCCTCTACTTGTTCAGTAAAATGGCTTCCATACTGTCAGTGTTGAGATAAATAGTTCTGGTGTTGAGGGTGGTTTCATCATCTGAGACTCTCAACTGTGGTTTACTTAGCCTGTAGATAAACCTAGAACTGGATGAACATATAAAGCCTCATTGCTTCCCCTATTATGGCATGAATCCCTTGAGGCTTTGGGGTTGAATCCAGCTCTCCTGAGGGGTTGAATCTGGCCTTCTAGGTTTCCCCAGATGGCTATCCTCCCTTTCTCATGACATAGTGTAGTTTGCCAGCATTTGTTAGGTTTCCCCTTATAAATGGTTGCAGTGGATCTTCTAAAGCTTAATTATTGGCAATGAAATCTTTAAGTTAAAATGCATTGGCATTTTATATCCTACCCTTTCTCTTTGGACCCTCCCATCCCTGGTATGTGGTCCTCAAGAATTCCTGTGACAGAATTTGGAGGTTTTCCTACCTTTGCCCTACTAGCTACCGGGTAGGATAGTCAATACAAGATTAAAAAAGAGAAGCAACCCCCGAGTATAGAGCAGCAATTTGAGAGTTCTTAAAAACAAATTTTATAAATGATTGACTAAGGTCTGCCAGGGCTATGACAGGCCAGATAAAATTAGTTCATGTGCCATATATCTTGCGTGTAGATTGCTAGTTGCTAGCTGTGACAGAATGGGCTTTCACAGTTGATGACACCGATACCTCTCAGACATGAGAGGTATATTTGGGGGGGGGGGCAGGTTCAATCAGTGCTGTTCAAGTTGATCTTCCCAAATAGCATCTTTCAAAAGTACCCCATAAGCAATACTGCGTTATCACAGAGGTATGGGTGAGACAATATACTCTTTGCTTGATTTGCTGGTGTACAGTTAAATACTAAAGCAGGTTTCTCTTTAGAAAGAAGAGGTCCTTTTTGTTTCCCTTATAGGTCCACTCATGCTCTTCTCTCTAGGGTGCTGTGGTTTCTCAGTTGCCCCAAGGGCCATGCTCATTCAGCAAGTCTTACAATAGACTTCAAAGAGACTGGCCACTGAGTGCATGCGGTAAAAGATGCCCAGTGGCAGGGAGATCTTGACTACAATGGCCCAGAGTGTGAAGCCGTAGAAAGACTGCTCGATCTGACTGACCAGGTGTGGGCGAGTCCCATAGGCGTACAGAATCCATACCTACACAAACAAAGGAGTCATAGTAATGGAATCAAACAGTCTCAAATTGCTTTAAGTCAATTGTTTTACATTTTATAATACTCATTCTACAACTGCTGATATGTTCTTTAAGACAGAGGTCCCCAATCTTGGGCCTCCAGATGTTTCTGGACTACAACTCCCAGAAGACTTCACCACCACTTCTGCTGGCTATGATTTTGGGAGTTGAAGTCCAAGAACATCTGGAGACCCAAGGTTGGGGACCACTGCTTTAAGAGAAAGGGAAGCTTCATTTGTTCACTTTGTGTGGTTGGCAGGCAAGCACCAACAATCCTGATAACTATGTCCAGCCAGCAGAGTTCCAAAATGGACACAACTGTGTGAATCCAGGGCAACAAACAGAGTGTGTAACAGAGTGGGGGGGGGGGAGACCAATTTAGACAAAGTGCTTCCTCATGTAAGCATTTAGAAGGTGCTATATAGCTATTATATCTTTTAAGTTATCCATTGGAAGGAAAATGATGGAAAAACTAGGGGAAAAATAAGAGAGTTACACTAAGACTACAGTGGCCGAAAAATTTAGTGAATGAATTAGGCCAACAGCATAGTAAAAGTCTCATAAGTAGCACATTTGCCACTAATCAGATCCACGAAAAAAGAGCATTTAGTCACAACAAAGCTCGCCTTTGGGTATTAAAATAAACGGGACAATTTAGTGAAGACCTGAGTGAGTCTAATGTAGCTGGGACTAAAGTGAAAAGTAGATACTGAGATTCTCAGTACTGTATCTCAAAGTACCAACTGTACTTTATAAGGTAAGTAATGTCAAAACTTAAGTAACAAAATAAAATATAAAATTGGCTACTTCCTACCATTGGGTCACTTCCGCCCTCTACTGGTCACTAGTTTTTCCTCTGTTGAAACATACTTTTGCAGATGTTGTTGCATGCTATCGTATTGCCTTTGGCTTATGGCATCCCTATGAACTTCCTACCATTGGGTCATTTCCGCCCTCTACTGGTCACTAGTTTTTTCTCTGTTGGAACATACTTTTGCAGACGTTGTTGCATGCCATCATACAGTATTGCCTTTGGCTTATGGCATCCCTATGAATGAGAGTTCTCCAAAATGAACTGTCCTCAACAGTCCTGACCACTGGTTGTCGTGGGTTTTTTGGGCTCTTTGGCTGTGTTCTGAAGGTTGTTCTTCCTAACGTTTCGCCAGTCTCTGTGGCCGGCATCTTCAGAGGACAGCACTCTGTTCTCTGGTGTAGTTAGCTTGGGAATGCAGTATTTATGGCTGTGAGATAGGCTTTTGTCTTTTTCTGTAGATGGGTGATTAATGTGTCTTGTTGTGGGTGTATTGTTGTGCTAAGGAGAAGAGATTATCTGTCACTGTGTTGATGGGTGTCATGAGCTGGTCTTTTGTGTGCAGTGATCCCCTGTCCTTGTGGCTGAGTAGAGTTCGCAGACCTTTTGCACGCTGTATTTTTGAGAGCTGGGAGCCAAGTTTTGTTGAAAAAGACAAAAGCCTATCTCACAACCATAAATACTGCACTCCCAAGCCAACTACCCCAGAGCACAGAGTGCTGTCCTCTGAAGTGAATGGAACCCATTTCCACATCTTGATATTCTTTCTATACCTGAGTGCAACTCAGTTCACTCACCGAGATGTTGTAGAAGATAAGGAGAATCGAGACGTTCTGTAGGATCTTTCTTCTAATGCTTGGTCTTTTAGGTTCTTCATGAGTTTGCAGAATTTGGAAGAGGGATGGGTCACTGCCGTAGTCTGCCAATTGTCTAGGTGTCTGATTCTCTAGATTGGCCATGACATTGTTCAATGTGTGGGTTTTGGAGAAAGATCTGTTGCTACCTTGCTCCACAGGACCTCTGGAAATTGAAAAGACCCAGCTGGAACCAGCAAGGTTCATACTATTATGAGCATTTGCCTCATGAGAAGAGCTGGAGTACAATGCTTCTGTAATAAACAGATTCTGGCCCAGAATTTGGATGGTCTTGCAAAGGGAGAAGCAGAAGTCCAGGAGGTGGAGACTGCCACTGGCATGAAGAAAGAAGATGGCAACCAAGGAGAAGATGGATACCATGAGGGGACCACAGGAGCTGCCCAGCAGCAAAGTAACATCTAAACTTCTTACCACACTTTTGCCAGAAGAAAAAACTGCTGTTTTCTTCTTCTTCATCCTATAGGTGGCAATGCCAATCAAAGTTGCCAAGAACATCACAGATAATAAAACAGAGTTAAAGATGTAATATGTTCTAAGGGCTTCAGGAATAGTTTCAGGCAACTTGGCAAGCACTCCAAAGGAAATCATCACCCCAAAAGTTGCTGAAATGGCCAACGATCCTAGTACCAGACCTACAAATGCCCCACTGAGGTGGAAGTGTGCCCTGTGAGTGAAGTGAGGCTTCTGGTGATCACCTTCCCGCCCAGTATTCTTCCAGATGATGTATAACATTGTGGAGGAGAAGAGACTGAACTCAATATTGAAAGGATGCAGGTATGCAGCACCTTCTGAAAAGATGTGGCAAAGACTGGTCATGCAACTGCAGCTGTTAGTGTATGAACTACCTGTAGGAAAAGCAAGAACAGTGTGTTGGCCGGTGTGCTGGCTTTTGGCACAATAACAACAGTAGCAAAAACAGCTATATGGCTTCTAGACATCTAGCTCAAAATCCTATTAATTTTATCTTATTAACTTTGTAGGGTGCACCCAGTTCTTTTTGGCTTCTTCTTCTAAGCACTCTCCCTGTGCCTTTAAATATTTTTATTTTTTTTTTACTTTTAAAAATTGATGTGAGAGAGGGAACTGCATGGCAAGTGTAGTTGCAAAGCTGGGGATGTGATGAACTTCAAATTACCATTTTTGAAAGCTGGGGACAGAGGAATGATAAGAAAGGGCACAGAAGGGGCAAGAGGCCTGATGACCATCAGTTTGCAAGTGTGAGAAGGCATATGTGTGCATAAAGCAAGAGTGGAAAGCAGGTTAAATTCAGGGGCAGTGCAGAAGCAGTAGTGTATCAGAGACTAACAACATGAAGGGGATGCAGGCAAGGGGCAATGCCTACTGTAACTGGAGTGTGTATTGTCATAGGTCTAAGGCCATGTTTCTTCCTGGTGTGCAGAGTAAAACTGTTTCCTATAAACTTCTAGCAGGAAACCTGGTGTAAGATTCAGCAATTAATCCTTTTCACCCAATGTCAGGAACGTAAGCAGGGTGGCTAAGTAGCGCAGCTAATTAAATGGCTGATAGGGAGCATGCCTGCTGGACATATTGTATGCATGCTGGACATTGGGTTTGATTCCTGGCTTTAGTCATTTTTAAAAAACTCATCCAGCCTTATGGTTGTATCCAAGTCATTTACAGAGATCCTCACTTTGTTTGTCACCTCTGACCCCACCCCATGTCCAAAGGCAACATTTGTACCATGTGGAGTCTGGGTGCTCTCTCCCCTGTGAGCATCATAAAATTCCTCCAGCTGCTTCATGGACTCATCCAGCACCACACTCATCCACAGAAGCACATTAGTTGCCAGTGTGTGCATCAGCCCAAACCTAAAAAGAAGTTGAAAGAGTTCCTGGAATCATTTGTGAGATCATTACAGTTTGCTGTTTTCCACTTCCAATCAACCAGCTCAGCTATATTACTATTCTCTTAGCTATTCTGAGGATTTTCATGTCCTTTACATGCACTGCCATCCTGTTAGCAATGGCAGTTCTGCCACAAGGCAAAAGAAGGTAATTGTCTCAGGGAGCAAATAATGGACTGCAGCAGTGATGGCCGTCAGGCTGTTCCTGCTGGACATCCTCACATTCCCCCTCTTTTACAGGACAGAGGTGTGTGCTTTTGGAGGGAAGCTTGAAGAAAAAAAGAAAAATTGTTCATTATTTGCATTACAGGAAATTGCACTGCTTTCAGGACTTGATATTAAGCCACTGTGCATTCCCAACAGATGGCTGATTTGTCTTCATTGCATGACTCAGTTGAATAGTCCTACCTGTTTAGATGTTGGTATTCCTGGATGCAAACCTTAGCATTAAACAACAGCAAAGAGACCTGTAAGAAGGGAAAGTGAAGAGGCAGATTTGAAATTAAAAGTAATACTACATCACTGTTTACCATTCATCATATACATTTAAGTCAGCAGGAAGCTTTTTCAAGCCTAATAATCTCTCTCTCTCTCTCTGTATGATAAGGGTTTGCAGTACTTAGGGAGGGTTAACAGACCCTCCTGTAGCTGTGACCCATATTTGTCTTCCTCCACAATAGATTTTTTTTCAAAAGCTTCTTTATGGCCCCAGTGGTAGCAGGGGGGAGTTTAAAGAGGGGTTCAATACACTCATAAAGGGCTAACATTTTCTCTCTCAGCCACAACCCTTATTATTATTTCAACCTGCTATTGGACTTGAATAAATATTTCCAGTGCACATTCTAGGTTCTTTCTGCAAGAAGATGGAGTCTGTGGGCCAGGCAAGGAGGCCTTTTACTGTATCCAAGCCTCCTATTTTTACACACCATTGTCAAATCTTTTTTCAGTCTTTCTGGAACGGACTCTCTGAACTCATACGAGCAGTGGCCATGTTAGCTGCGGGATTCTGGTAGCTGTAGAGCTAAAAAGTAGCCTTTCAGAATTCCAGAGGGAATCACATAGTAGAGGGAAGCAGAGTGGGCTCAAACATGGAGTAGAGGCAGGCAGAAGGAAATACAGAAACACTAATTTCTCTGAGGCAGAGTCAGGCAGTACAGGAGGTTTCCATGGGTCCCCCCTACATATCAGAAACCAATATAACCTCACCTGTATGATGGTGAAAACAGCTTGCACAACAGGGAAGGTGGTGATGAGCATGGAGACACAGTGCTGCAGCTCATAGTAATACCCCAAGGAGAGGCAGTCGAGAACCAGTGTGGCTAGTGCAAAGAGAGACAGACCACCTGTCACAAGAAGAGAGCACGGTCAGCCCAAACCTTGCACAAGTCACAGTCACTTGATTCCTTTTCTTATATATTTTGTCGGGGTGTAGCCCCAGGCTACCATCCATCTGGAGAGTAGCTGTTTTCTAAAACAGAAGTGGACACAACATTCTTGCAGAAGAAGAGGTTGCCTCCTGATACCCATCAAAGTGAAATCTAACCTTCCCCAGACTGTCTTCCCCAGTTTGTTGTACTCCTGATGTGTTCCTCCAGTCATCATCCATTGCTGGAGTTGAGGTCTGTTGAGGCAACTGGAGGACAACAGGCTGGTGAGAGCACAGCTGAGTCCCTTTCTTTACCTCCCTGAAGAACAAGTGTGCAGCTGGTGATCTGAATTTGCATTTCATGGCACATTGTAGGCTCATGCACTCTTACAGATATCACCCAGAGGTTGCAGCTTCAAATCTTCCTAAGCTATTGATGGGTCAGTTTGAATTTCCCTGTTTATGCTACAGGAAACTAAAGGCATAGGCCTCATCCTTCTCTGATGCCTGTAACCAGCTTCTGTGATTTTGATAAATTTGTTATAATATATTCTTGTTTACTTTGACTTTAAAAGCAATTCACTTCCGAACTTCTTTCAGCTTGGGTGTTCAACTCCTGGAATCTGGACTTGTTCTGGTTTTGTTTGTTAACTTCAAGGCTGGCTTTACCTCTGCCTTAGACCTTTTGACAGAAATAGACTTAATATGGTTGATAAGTAATTCAAAGGGAGCTCTGGAAGCCCATTTGACATACTCTGTGTAAGTTTTGATTCATGCATACCTGCAGCTCTAGTCTACTTGCAGAATGTACAACACCATCAAATACTAGTCATCTGTTGGTTGGACTTACATAACAGGCTCTCAGGTCATGTGTGCAGAAGTGGGAGCCATTTTAGTAGACCTGGAGGGCTCAAGCTTAAAATGACCAAACATCTTTGCACTGAATCTGATAGATCAGAGCCCAACATTTTCTCTGCACAATTGAACTGGAATATTGTATGGTCTGTTAAAGCCCATTTAACCTCTCTCTCTCTCTGATTTCCTTTTTATAAAAATGCTTGGATTTTGGAAGAAGAGAAGGTTGTCATGGCTAGTGATATTCTTCAGTGTGAGAACCAAAACATCATTATATTGCAAGTATGGGGAATCTACAGCTTCTCACGTTGTTGAACTCCAATTTTGATCAGTCCTAACCATCCTGGTCAATTGTGAGGCATGATGGGAATTACAGTTCCTTGATACCTGGGTAACCAGATTTCCCTCCCATGTATTGCAACACATCATGTATAGTCTCTCTCTCAAGTCTCTGCATTTTAATGTTCTATCTGATCTAACCATATTTTCAATTTTTTAATTTGGTACATTAGTTCCAATATTGTCATCCACTTTGGGACCCACTTCTAATAGGAGTTAAAAAACACATCAAATAAATAAATAAATTCATTTTTTAACCTTTGAGCCAGCTTGCTCCTGCCTGGTGATCCTGATGCATTTTCAGCTGCTTGTTGCCAGCAGACCGCCAGCTAAACCAGAGCATCCAGATGCAGGAAGAAATCATGAGCACTGCCAGGAAAGCATGGATGTTGTAATTCAGCAAGTTGTGTTGGTGCATCTCAGCGAGGAGCACAGCACTGCCCACAAATGTCAGCAGGGCCAGATAGAGCAGGGAGAGTAGTGAACTGGACCGTGTTGTGGATGCCATGAGCGTGCACGAGCTCTCTCTTGGGCATATGCAGTCTGGTAACGTTCAGCTCTGTGGACAGAAGCAGCCAGGCAGCAGAAGATCAGCTATGTGGGCAAGTGTCAGCTGCTATTTAGATAATCCCAGAGCTTTGAAAAGAAACTTTTATTTTGGCTCCAACCCCCCTCAGGTCCCACCAGCGAGCTTCCAACTACCATGCTGGTTGGGGGAATCTGGGAGCCCCAAACAAACCACCTTACCCAGTTCTGAAAAAGTTTACACCATGTAATGTTAAGTTTAAAGAAGTGGCCATGTTAGTCTGTCTCAGCACCTTTGCAAAATGAAATGGGGAAAAGAAAAGAACAGAACAGAAAGAGACGGAGAGATGGAGAGGCAAAATATTGTGGCATCTCAAAGACTAACATATTTATTTCAGTGTGAGCTCTCATGGGTCAAAATCCACTTCTTCAATGTGAGTGTCTCAGATATATATGAGACAGAATGTACAACACATTGAAGAAGTGGATACACACACACACACACACGGGAGAAAATATTACCTGCTTCTTATTCCATATTGAACACGTAGATTGGGGTGGGCAATTAATTTCTATAGGGAGGGCCACATGAAAAATCTGAACTGTGTTTGGCGGCCGAACCAACTTTACTTAAAAATAAAATGAAACAGTGATGTTAGGATTGCTTTTATTTTAAACTTGTTAATCTTCACAAATACTAAAGAGTTTTTTTGGCGGTATGTTAAAGATAAGCAACTCATCAACTTTAGACAAAAAGCTATAAATGGTTTTGATATTCAAAACTGTCCGCAGGCCGGACAGGAGCACACAGCCAGTATGTGGCCCTCGGGCTGCACTTTGCCCAGGTCTGACGTAGATGTTTCTATAAGTCACCATCCTTATGGTAGCCATTTAATAAGTTGCACTTTAGCACAGTAAGTCACAACTAGAGTAGGCCCATTGAATCAATGGAATTTACAGCAGAAATTACTCACCAAATTCCCACTGATTTAATGGGCCTACTCAAGTTGCAACTTACCCCAATTGAGCAATAGGAGGCTTGTCTATATGGGCGCAGTTGGAGCGGGCTGACTAGGGTCACTTAAGGCTGGGTAGAGGTCCAGTATGCCAGTTGCGGCTATTTTTGCATTCAAAGGGCATATGCAACTCAAGTGACCTTACTTGGTCCACCTCCCTGTTGAAAACAAAACAACAACCCCCCCTCCTTGTCCCCTCCCCACTCTCCTTGCTTTTGGGAAACTTTTAAAATTTTTTCTAAGTTGTATCAACACTGTTGTAGACTTAAAAACTTTTTTTTGGGTACCTGCCTCTCTATGAAGCTATGAACCTCTCTATGAAAGCTAAGCTGTTGTCGTAAGCCACTTAACAATAATTATCGGAAAACTGAAAGCGGAAGGCAAATTTAAAGCCACAAGCTGTACTTCGGTTCTTATTCAATGATCACATATGTTGAAAATTAACCAAAACAGAGTAGTCCTACCTGCACACACACACAAAATCAAAAACAAACAAAACAAAAAACCCCAAAACCCAAAACTAGTGGCTCCCGATTAGAAATTTGCAGATAGGAACACTGTGGGGACATGCTGGTTTGCTCTAGCAATTGCACCATCTGATCACCAGAAAAAGGAGGGAACCAGCCTGTCCCCACAGTGGATAAACCAGCGGGACAAATGCTGTCTGATCTCACTCAACATTTCAGTCAATGTCTTTTCCCACTGGTAAAACTGGGGCAAAAAACTTGACAGAAAATGTACTTTCCACTATAATTTTCTGTAGAAAAAGTCAATTTCTAAGCATGCATTATTTCATAGAAATAATTACAGTATAAGGAACTGATGATATCTATACAGTTATATATAAAGAAGAGGGCATTTGTTGCATTATCAGCCACTACTCTCCCCCAGCTTCACCCTTATAGTCTTATATATGTCCAAAATGCAGAATGAGAAGAACACAACTATTAGTAAATACTGGGAGGACAGTTTTCTTCTTTTTTCAATCCTTCCATGTGTCCCCTCTGCTTTCCTTCATGGCATGTTACGGGGTTCAAATCTCCTGCTCCCTAGAATACTGATCTCCTTTGTATTTCCAGTCTGTATGGGATTTTCTTATCCACACATTCTATGCACAAAGCAGCAAGCTCATTTCTGCTTTTGGGACAAGGACAAGAAAATGCTGCAGAACACACTGGTTACCTGCGAGAGCTGGATCAAAGAGGTGGGGGAACTGGTATTTCAAAATTACAATGGAGCCTCATGACCCAAAAACCTTGCATCCTACCACACTAGTTTATTTTTGGGAGCATGTTCAAAGTCTAGTGTGAGTCACACAGTTCCAAGCAATCTAGTCTACTGATCTAGATCTACTAATAATAGATTCAAAAGACTGTTTTTATTTAGAATTTATTTTATTTTATTTAGGCTGTTGGTAGAAACCCAAACTGCAGTAGGAATAGGTAAGTGATGCTATAACCCCACAAATGCCGCTTGCCACTCAACTTCCAAAAATATATTTTGAACTACTATACAGACATTCCTGGAGTAAAAAAAAAAAAATTCTGAACAAAACCCTGGAGAGAAACACTGGGAAAGTCACAATCATCCCATGCAAATGTTGGGACACAGTGCCAATGTCTTTCATTGAGCAGAACAACACTGATCACTCCATAGCCCTTGTAAATTACATACAGTACTTATAATAAGACTGGATCTCGAAGCCTACACTCTGTTGCTCCAAGTTCTTGCAAAAACACACTCACCTGGTGCTGTCACACTGCTACTGCTGAAACTCCATTTCTCGCAGTCGTTCTGAGCAGAGGCAGTGGTGGCCCCTCTCTCTCTCTTGGAAATGGAAGAATGAAGCATTAATATAGCAGGGCTAATGGCCCCAGGGAGCCAACTCATGACCACTCCCACCAGGGAGAGAGAGCAGGACCTCCACACATACCTTTTCTCCAAAATGGGGGGGGGGAGAGCAGGACCTCCACACATACCTTTTCTCAACCTTTCCTACACCTTGCCTAGTTCTCAAGAGTCTCCTTCAGAAGTGATGGGATTCTGGCAACACTGCTGCTATAGGGCATTTCTGGAGCTTTAATAATGCATATCTTCCAAGACTAGAAATTGGTGCACTTGTTTTATAGAAAGGGCCTAAATACAACTGCTGGTGCCAACTAGAGGAGCTCCACTGAATCAATGGAATTTACATATTGTTAACTTACCATTCAGCAATTGATTCAGTGTGCTTACTTTAGGGACTAGCGACTGAATATTTTTTGAACATGTAAGCAATTTCTGGGAGGTGTGGTGACTATGCCTCAAGAAAGAAATGTTGCATTTAAAACATTTACTTATTAACACTCAAGAGGAAAAAATGTAAACATTTTAACTGATTTTTAAAACAAAAGTAATATTCCAAAAATAATGTAATTATCCAACATGTTATTCAGGACTGCATCCTCAATCATATTAGACTATAATATCTGCAGAAAAATAAACCATTTACTCAAATGAAATGTTAACAAAAATGTGCTCTACTTTAAATGCAATAATAATCCATACAATCACTATCTTGTGTTTTAAAGTAATTCATATTTCAGATACCAACAGTGACATTCAAATTTCTATTCAGAAGTAAAGCATGAAGTACTCTTGGGTAGATGTGTATTGAGTTTCACTCTCACAAAACATTTTGATTAATACAGACAAAAAAAATTAACAGGCAAATATAACAAATGCATACATTTTTTTGTCACATAAACATCTTTAAGCTCTGCATTTAAGTACAAATGTTTTCATAAATTTATTGTCATAAATATAGCATGAAATGAGATATTTTCCCAAATGGGTAGAAAGCATTGAATCCGTTCAAGAAGTACATAGAAGAAATGCTCCAGCATTACACACATTTAAGTAGACAGCAAGAGCTGTCAGCCCGTGTTTTGTTCCACTGGGTCACCCCAACAAAATATTTTCTATATGAAACACATTTCTATGTGCATGTAGGATTATTTTTCCAGAGATCAGTCCATCACTTAAGAAAGCTCTCCCAGGATTCTAGAACAAGGGCTTGTTGGCATCTTTTCAGTGTCCTTTAAACTGCATATGCTATTAAAAGCACAACATAAGTACAGTACCATTACAATTGATTGAATGTAACTGACTAGATTCTAAGGGCTGCATTTTACTGCTGACCAGAGTTTGAAAAAGTTACAACTCCGGACTGCAACTCGCAGAATCCACCAGCCAGAATGGCTTCATAATGATCACCTCCTTGCTTTCCTTCCTCTGGGGTGGGGAGAAGATGCTTGAGTTCCCGAAGCCGGAGCTTTGTTCTCATTCCTTCTGCTGCAATGTTCGTAGTGGCATCTAACTCTCGTTTTAAAAAGCCACTGGACGTGTCAGTTGGGGATTCTGGGAGTTGTCGTCCCAAAGGTTAACCTTTCCAAACTCTGCTGCTGGGAGAACTCTGCTGCGATGACGCATTCTCTGGCTACGGGCGCTCTTCCTGATCAGACTGAGCAGCTTGGGGCACTCTATGCATGCTCAAGAGGACTTTTTCCTAAGGATCTCGCGCATCCCAAGCAGAAGCTGCTGCTGACCTACAGGCAAATACATCTCGGCCGGGCTGAAACCACGGCGTGAAAGCCCAGCCCTGTAGCCGAAGAGCTTCTACCGGCAGGCTCCGAATCGCTGCGGCGGATTATCGCGGCCGGAGCATCATCGGGGCTCGCCCACTCGTCTGCCCGCTCGCTCTGTGTGTCTGCCGGCACGTAGCCCGGCTGATGGTTACGGGAGGAGCGCCCTTCTGGGCCTGGCCACGAGAGGAGCGGCGCCCGTAAGCCCCCCGCGGAGGAGGAGGAGGCCTGTCCGGAGGCCAGCTTAATCGGATCCAGGCCGGCCCCGGAGGGGAGCGCGGGCGGCAGCCGCCGGCCAAGGGCTGCTGAGGACAGGCGGCCCATC